CTATATATATATATATATATATATATATATATATATATATAGATAAATGTATATGCATGCTGCTTCCTACATTTTATGGAGCCTTGATTCAGTGTACCACTCGCAGGCAACATCACTTGTACATTTTTATCTATAAAGCCATACTGGGTAAACTTCCAGCATATCTCTGTCTCAGCTCTGGTAGTTACCAGCTACTTTCTTCTAAGTGGTTGCTTTTTAATGTTAATTGACAGATCTGGGGAAGACTGCATTTTCTTAGGTGTGGAATAATCTGCAAAAAGATCTAAAATCAGACACAGTTACATCCATTAATGAACTTAAGCACATCATAAAGAATACAGCAACGGAGCCATGTGGTTGTTTCTCTTTAAAAGCCATTGTATTTGTATAGTTGGTGTTTTATTGTTATGTTGTATATGTTGTATTTTAATATGTTGTCTCTCTTGTAAAAGAGATTATTGATCTCAATGGGACATCCTAGTAAAATAAAAGAGAGGCTCTACATGAAAACATGATCACCATCAAAAAAAATATTCAATCCTCTTCTGAAGCTCAGTGAATTTTAAAGTCCAACAACCAAAGTGAAGACTTGCATTCGGGGAGAAAGTCCTAGTGTAAAGGTGGCGTAGTGGCTTTGTCTTCTGGCTATAGGACCGACCAGTGTTGGAAGTGCTGGTTCAAATCTCACCTGGCTGGTTTGTGGAGCATTTTCAAAGGTTTCTCCTCAGTAATGTGAACAATAAATACAACTACAGACCAAAGAACTATAAGTCTCAGGTGTAGCTCAGTGAGATGATGCTGCAATCTGATCATCAAAGGTGGATGGATCATATCCAGTGTTGCCCTCGAGTGGTCAGAGTGAATATCTACAACACTTAACATGAATTAATATTAAAGCAGTTCAATAACTTATTGTTGATTACTGATAAACTTCACGTTTAACTCATAACTCTTGACAGTAAAGCAAGTGGAGTCATTTATTTATTTAAAGGTAAATTGCCTTTTGAATCTCTTAAAGAAAAATAAATACTTTTTTCATTCATGAACGTGGACTTACCTGAAGACTCTGTCTACCTCTGTGGTTCTTGACTGATCTGGATTAAAAGCAGAGGGTTAGGGAATGAATGAGATTTGTAAGGATGAAGAGGAACAAACTCTTTTTTTGATCCCCGGCGGAATAATGTATATATATATATATATATATAAATAATGCAACCATCAAACAAAGAATAAATCATCGGAACTTTAAGTTGCATTCATTATATGGTATATTCATGATATGCTGAAACGAAAATGACAGAAGTAGTGACATTTAATATCTAATAAAGTCTTTAAAAATCAAAGAAGGAAAAGCTGTTTTAAAGATGACACTGGTGTCTAGAATCTGTACAATTATTGGAAGATTAGTGAGACTTTGTGGCCAATTGTATCACATAAAAAGGAAAATAAAAACTCCTACAGTAGTGGAATAATTCAATGAGCCAATAATCAATAATAATCAGACCCTCTAGTGGCAGCAGATCTTATTGGCTCCAATAAAGGTCAATCACACACAGCTGGCTCGGTTTCAGTGTTACTGCCGGTACTGCTCCACAAGAGCAACGTTACACTGTTTGATCAGTCAGTGAGACAATGACAGTGGATAATGACCTTAATCGATCTTTAATATTCTCACACAGCGAGGAAACAACAAACAAACAAACAAACAAACAAACAAACAGCAGCCATTGAACTACCAGCAGCTTCATTGTCACTGTGTTTGTCTTTGTTGTTCGAGAGGCTGTTCGCTTGTCGCTTTCACTGAATGTTCATCAACAGGTGGCGTTGATTTCATCTGACAATAACAACAGGAAAACAACAACAACAACAACAACAACAACAACTGTTTAAAACACCCTGTGTTTGTTTGTGTCTGACTGACCTTATAACTCTCTCCTTCTTCCTCTCGTCCTCTAAACGTCTTCATGAAACAGGTTCAAGTATCCGGAGCGACCGCGAACTTTCCGTCATGGCGTCAGTTCGCCTGAGCAGCCCGGTGGAGAGTCTGTTCCCTGGTGGAGAGTCATTGTGGACTAGAGAGGGAATACCGGGAATATCTGCTTCATGGAGACGTTTGGAGGACGAGAGGAAGAAGAAAAGAGGACATAAGACGAAGAACTGGAGTTTGTTGTGAGTTAGAAGGTCAGTCAGAGGCTGAACGGCCACACAAACAAACACAAACAAACAAACACAAACAAACAAATACAGGGTCGCTGCGTCTGTTGCTGGCTGACTAACAGCTAAACAAACAAACAATCGGTCAAATTCACTCGAGTTACATTAAGGTGACAATGAGAGCTTATTGTGAGAATGAACATTACCTTTTAAACAGTCGTTGTTGTTGTTTTCTTGCTGTTATTGTCAGAGGAAATCAACGCCACCTGTTGATGAGCGTTCAGTGAAAGCGACAAGCGAACAGCGTCTCGAACAACAAAGACAAACAAAGTGACTGTTTCTGGATCTTTGGATATATTGATTGTTTGTTTGTTGCTCTGTCAATAACTAGACTTTATTGTGTGTCTGATGGCTGCAGGAGGACTGCTGCTGAGGCTCTGTGGGAACTATGGAAGAGTCTTCAGGTTGGTCCACTTTCTAGTCTTAATGTTGATTATAAATGTGACTGAATCCTATAAATGTTTGTTGTTTCACTGTAATCTACACAAAGCTGCAACCACTGACTGTGTGTCAGTCTTTAGGTTGTGGGTTTGAGTTTAAGCTTTAAGGTTTTAATGCTGGATTTTGACAAATAGGAAAAAAAATATGAAGTCGACAGTGTATAATAGGTTCTTACAGGTTGAAGGCTGATGTCCAGAGTTACAGGAGGACTGCTGTTGACACGGCCTGCAGGAAACACAGAAGAGTCTTCAGGTAAGTCCGCTTTACAGAGTTTATGTTATTATTCACTAACTGATTAAACACTAACTGTTGATATATTGACTGTGTGTAAATTACAGATATTGGAGAGGTCCGTGGGGTGAAATCCAACCTCAGTAAGTGTTCTTATTGTGCTCTGCTTTGGTTTCTGGGAGCTCAAGCTGCAGTTACTTGTTTTAACTCTTACTAACTATTAATATTAACTATTTCCTTTGGTTGTTTACACAGAAATTAAGGAAATTCTGTAACCCAAATCCCATCGCTCCCAACCAGAACCCGGACACGCTGCTGTAACCGTCTTCCACTGCGATGCTGCGGTATGTATCTTACATTATTCTTGTATATGTAGTAGTGTCTAATATAATATAGTAGTGTCTAATTTAATTTAATATAGGAGTGTATAATAGAGTAGTGTTTAATTTAATATAATATAATGTAATATAATATAATAGTGTTTAATTTAATTTAATATAATATAGTATAATATAATCTAGTAGTGTCTAATATAATGTAATATAATATAATAGTGTTTAATTTAATTTAATATAATATAGTATAATATAATCTAGTAGTGTCTAATATAATGTAATATAATATAATAGTGTTTAATGTAATATAGTATAATAGAGTAGTGTCTAATTTAATTTAATATATTATAATGTAATATAATATAATAGTGTTTAATTTAATTTAATATAATATAGTATAATATAATCTAGTAGTGTCTAATATAATGTAATATAATATAATAGTGTCTAATTAAATTTATTATAATATAGTATAATATAATATAGTAGTATATAATATAATAGTGTCTAATTTAATTTAATTTAATATAGTATAATATAGTAGTGTCTAATATAATATAATATAATATAATAGTGTCTAATATAATATGTGTCTAATATAATTTAATATAATATAATAGTCTCTAATATAATTTAATATAATATAATAGTGTCTAATTTAATATAGCAGTGTCTAATATAATATAATATTATATAATATAATAGTGTCTAATATAATATAATGTAATATAATAGTGTCTAATATAATATAATATAATAGTGTCTAATATAATTTAATATAATATAATATAATAGTGTCTAATTTAATATAGCAGTGTCTAATATAATATAATAGTGTCTAATAATAATATTAATAATGTAATGTAATATAGTAGTGTTGTGTGCTGGAAGATAACTTGGTACTAACTGTGCTTCTCTTCTACTCTCTCTCTCTCTCTCTCTCTCACTCTCTCCCCTCCTCCAGCAGTTGGGGTTTTCCACAAAGAAGACTTCCTGGAGGGGGAGGGGAGAGAGGGTTGTTATGGGGTGTTTTGCTTGTTAATGTTCAATAAAATTATTTTAAAATCCATAACCCCCTGCTTTTGTCTCTCTGGAAACCCGGGAGAGAACACGGCCGCCTCCTCTCCCTCTGCAGCGGGGTGACACTCCAGGAACCCAGCACCCAAAGTGCTGCCAGTAGTTTTTAATTCAGATTCAGATTATCGGATTAGTTACAACATCCATCACCTTAGAGTTTTCAAATTCCCCATATATCTTAATCTCCTGTTTTCAAATACAGATTGGACCCCAGTATTGGGATAATCCAAATGGCTGCTGTGTGTGGGCAAGGATTCAGTGACAAATGGTCGATTCTGACCACTGCAGTAGCTTCGTATGCCACTAGGGGAGCTCTGACGTCATCAATTTCTTGCCGAAAATGCACTTGTGGCGGCGTCCGCCAACCCCCTCTCCCTCACAGTTACGTAAAAAGCTTCAAACATTTGAGCAAAATTTCAGCCGCTCGTGGCTCTGTGTCCGATAACCCCCTGCTTTGATCTCTCCGGCGCATCGGGAGGGGACAAGGCCCCCTCCCTCACCCACCGCCGTGGGATCGATAGTCCAGGAACCGGCCGGGTGGTATTCGAACCAGCGGTTCCTCCACTGGCCGACCCTACGGTCACGAGACGAAGCCACCACGCCACCGAGCCCCCTTCGCACTAGAACCTGCTCTCTGGCCGTTTTTATTTCTTCACTTTGGGGCGCTGGACTTTAAAATTCACTGAGCCTCATAAGGGAATCGACCCATGTCCATTAGCCTACTAACACACTGCGCTATGTGTACGCAGACACTTCTTCCTTGTTTCTTGTTTCTTAGAGGCTTTCAGTCTTCTTCTTGGGGTTGACTTTGAAAGTTCACAACGTCAAAGGTTTGAACCCACAATCTCCGAAGTTCCACACAGTCGTTTAACACCTTGAGCTATTTGATCTGAGACGCTGCAGCTCTTTTTCTCTGACTTTTTTTACTCTTTCCTTTAGACAACTGAACACCAAACATATCTTTGTGAAAGACTTCATTGTGGAGAGGAAGGTGTCCGGCTGATGATCTCCAACTCGCACAGCAAGGAGGGGCCACCCAACTGTTCTGATGTGTGTTGTGGGTGTTAATCCTCAATAAAATTATTTTAAAATCCATAACCCCCTGCCTCTATCTCTCTTCTTGACCTCTTTGAGGAGAGAGCACACAGAATATAACCTTGGATCATCTTTTAACAGCACCTTATCTCACTGAGCTATACCTCAAGTTGGTAATGTACTGCTTCGTAGTTGTATTTATTGTTTACATCCCTGAGGAGAAACCTTTAAAAATCTCACAACACATGTTTGGATTTGAACCCTCAACCTCAGGTATCAACCACATCAGCTGCTCATCTTACTGAGCTATTCCTGCTGATGAGTTTTTTTTTTATAATTCTTTGATTTACTTTTACTACATTTCGTTTATGTTTTACACTGGACAGACAACCCTGGGGTTATATGAACTATAATGGAGCTCAGGTACAACAGTGCTGCTTTGGAGGAACAAGCCCCTGCCCTCTCCTGTCAGCATGTCACACTGGACAACAAACTGGACTGGTCTATAAACTGGTTTATAAGAAGGGCCTGAGCCGACGTTACTTCCTGTGGAGGCTCAGGTCCTTCAATGTTTGTGTTTATCAGTCTGTTGTGGCGAGCACCATCTTCTTTGCTGCGGTGTCCTGGGGTGCGGGCATCAAGGCAAAGGAGGCCAACAGACTGAACAAACTCATTAAGAAGGCAGAGTCTGTTGTTGGCTCGAAGCTTGTCACCCTGGAGGAGGTGGTGGAGGAGAGGATGCTGGCAATCCTGGACAACCCCCCCCCCACGCACACACACATTACTGGACAAGCTAACAAGCAGCGGTGCAGATGTTGCACTGTTGTTTGGTGAAAAATAAAAAGATAAATGTTTCAACAGCATGTTTGTGTATCTGCAAATACCAATGTACCTGGCTGCTACGACGACCCAATTTGAAGAATTAATAAAGTCTATCTATCCTATGCATTTATGGACGTCACAGGTATTACTACTTTGAAAAAAAAAACACCTGTAGAAATAGCTCAGTGAGATAAGTAGCTTATGTTCATTCCTGAGTTGGAAGGTTCAAATCCAGGACAACCTTTTCTGAGATCTTTAAGCATTTACTTCAGCAACATGAATAATAAATATGACAACAAACCCATGAATACAACCCTCAGGTGTAGCTCACTGAGATAAGGTGCTGCTACCTGATGATCTAAAGCAGAGGGACCCAATCCAATTTATCTTCTGATGACACTTTTCTGTGTTTTCTCCTCAAAAATGTAAAGAAAAGCAACAACGAGTTCAACTCAACTGTCCCAACAAATAGCTCAATGAGTGAAGAGTTGTCACAGTTGGTTCTCCACACTCAGAGATTGAGGGTTCAAAACCAGATGGTGTTTTGACCATTTTCAATGTTTTCTCCTTCAGTGTGAAATACAACAAATACAACAACATACACAGGTTCAACTTTAAGCATAGCTCAGTGAGATAAGACACTGACAGGTCTACATTGAAGACCTGGATCTGGGAGTTTGAGTCCCTTTTAGGTTCTTACTGTGTCCATTTCAGTTCAACTGAAAACTTTATTTAACTAATTATTTTGTTATTGTTTTTCTTCTTTCAGAGTCAACATCTGTTTTTGTTTTTTTGGGGGGGAAAATAAACTTTGTTCAGAGGATTGACTGTTTGACTGTTTCTGACTTTTCCCCAACATGCAACACTTTGAGCCAACACTAATGCTTTAACTGAGAACTTTATTTCTACAAGAATAATCTGTAGTCTGTTTTCTGTCAGAGTAACTTCCCCAGGTGTCGGACCGCGTCCTCCTGCAACCCTCGAACACAATAAATCATCAGAACTTTGAGTTGTGTTCATTTAATCCACGGTGCACACATTGAAACCAACCTCGGGAGAGAACAGACAATTATGGATAATAATAATTAATAGGTTTTTCAACCTGTTTTTATTCATATATATATACACTTAAGTAGCTGAAAGACATGTTTTTTATTACTTTATATCTGATCCTTGTTATTTTAACCTTATTCTGCTGTGTTGCATCAAATGTAAAAATTCCAATTTTGTAGCTGACATATTTTTGAACATTTAGTTGACTTTTCGTCACATTTCAGTTTGTGTAGAAGATGTTGTATGTAATTGTTACCAATATGTTTATGCAAAATAAATGAACTGCAACACTATAAAACACTTAACACGAGTTAATATCAAAGTAGTTCAATAACTTATTGTTGATTACTGATAAACGTTCACGTATAACTCATAACTCTTGACAAGAAAGCAAGTGGAGTCAGTTATTTATTTAATAATTTTATTTATTCATAAAAAAAATAAGATTTTTTTTAAATCTGTCTCACTCATGAATGGTTACTAGTACTGATATGAATGTTCACCAACATTAAAACTGGAAAGTGGACTTACCTGAAGACTCTTTAGTAGTTCACAAACACTCGAGTCCCTTGAGCCAAGACGTGGACAACGGTGTCTGCCGGTTCTTGGCTGATCTGGATGAGAAGCAGAGGGTTTTGGAATAAATTAGGTTTGTAAGGACAAGGTGGAACCAACTTTTTATAGGATTCAGTTACAGATAGGAAATAGAAATATAACAAGAGCCTAAGATATATAATAAAATAATAGAGCCTATAGTTTCCATAGTTCCCACAGAGCGTGTCAGCAGCAGTCCTCCTGCAACCATCAAACACAGAATAAATCATCAGGTTGCATTCATTAAATGGCATATTCATGATATATTATATTATATTGATCGTATTAATCGCAACAGATTTTACAATTGCAATAGGAACAGTTAGTGGGAATGATGATTTTTGCATCCCAGTTTTTATTTGATTATCTTTCATTTCATTTTGAATTATTTTCACGTTCATATATATTTTAATATTTTTACATGTTTTCTTCCCTTGGGAAATAGAAAATAAACAGAAATAGTGACATTTAATATCTAATAAAGTCTTTAAAAATCAAAGAAGGAAAAGCTGTTTTAAAGATGACACTGGTGTCTAGAATCTGTACAATTATTGGAAGAATAGTGAGACTTTGAGGCCAATTGTATCACAACAAAAGGAAAACAAAGATATTGTCACCATGTTCCTGCCAGATACTGTAGTAGAATAATTCAATGAGCCAATAATCAATAATAATCAGACCCTCTAGTGGCAGCAGATCTTATTGGCTCCAATAAAGGTCAATCACACACAGCTGGCCCGGTTTCAGTGTTACTGCCGGTACTGCTCCACAAGAGCAACGTTACACTGTTTGATCAGTCAGTGAGACAATGACAGTGGATAATGACCTTAATCGATCTCTGATATTCTCACACAGCGAGGAAACAACAACAACAACAACAACAACAAACAGCAGCCATTGAACTACCAGCAGCTTCATTGTCACTGTGTTTGTCTTTGTTGTTCGAGACGCTGTTCGCTTGTCGCTTTCACTGAATGCTCATCAACAGGTGGCGTTGATTTCCTCTGACAATAACAGCAAGAAAACAACAACAACGACTGTTTAAAAGGTAATGTTCATTATCAGGAGTTTGACCGATGTTTGTTTGTTTATAGTCAACAACTGTAAGCATAGGTGTTCGCTAGCTGACGTCGTTAACTACAGACGCGGCGACCCTGTGTTTGTTTGTTTGTTTGTTTCTGTGGCTGTTCCGCCTCTGACTGACCTTATAACTCACAGAAACTCTTTTATTGTCTCTCCTTCTTCCTCTCGTCCTCTAAACGTCTTCATGAAACAGGTTCAAGTATCCGGAGATGACCGCGAACTTTCCGTCATGGCGTCAGTTCGCCTGAGCAGCCCGGTGGAGAGTCTGTTCCCTGGTGGAGAGTCATTGTGGACTAGAGAGGGAATACCGGGAATATCTGCTTCATGGAGACGTTTGGAGGACGAGAGGAAGAAGAAAAGAGGACATAAGACGAAGAACTGGAGTTTGTTGTGAGTTAGAAGGTCAGTCAGAGGCTGAACGGCCACACAAACAAACACAAACAAACAAATACAGGGTCGCTGCGTCTGTTGCTGGCTGACTAACAGCTAAACAAACAAACAATCGGTCAAATTCACTCGAGTTACATTAAGGTGACAATGAGAGCTTATTGTGAGAATGAACATTACCTTTGAAACAGTCGTTGTTGTTGTTTTCTTGCTGTTATTGTCAGAGGAAATCAACGCCACCTGTTGATGAGCGTTCAGTGAAAGCGACAAGCGAACAGCGTCTCGAACAACAAAGACAAACAAAGTGACTGTTTGTGGATCTTTGGATATATTGATTGTTTGTTTGTTGCTCTGTCAATAATTAGACTTTATTGTGTGTCTGATGGCTGCAGGAGGACTGCTGCTGAGGCTCTGTGGGAACTATGGAAGAGTCTTCAGGTTGGTCCACTTTCTAGTCTTAATGTTGATTATAAATGTGACTGAATCCTATAAATGTTTGTTGTTTCACTGTAATCTACACAAAGCTGCAACCACTGACTGTGTGTCTTACAGGTTTGAAGGCTGATGTCCAGAGTTACAGGAGGACTGCTGTTGACACGGCCTGCAGGAAACACAGAAGAGTCTTCAGGTAAGTCCGCTTTACAGAGTTTATGTTATTATTCACTAACTGATTAAATACTAACTGTTGATATATTGACTGTGTGTAAATTACAGATATTGGAGAGGTCCGTGGGGTGAAATCCAACCTCAGTAAGTGTTCTTATTGTGCTCTGCTTTGGTTTCTGGGAGCTCAAGCTGCAGTTACTTGTTTTAACTCTTACTAACTATTAATATTAACTATTTCCTTTGGTTGTTTTCACAGAAATTAAGGAAATTCTGGACCCTCAGGCTCCTGTAACCCAAATCCCATCGCTCCCAACCAGAACCCCGGACACGCTGCTGTAACCGTCTTCCACTGCGATGCTGTGGTATGTATCTTACATTATTCTTGTATATGTAGTAGTGTCTAATATGATATAATATAATATAATAGTGTCTAATATAGTTTAATATAATATAATATAATATAATAGTGTCTAATATAATATAATATAATATAATAGTCTCTAATGTAATTAAATTTAATTGAATATAATATAGTAGTGTCTAATTTAATTTAATTGTATATAACATAATATAATAGTGTTTAATGTAATATAATATAGTAGTGTCTAATTCAATTTTATATAATATAAGTGTTTAATGTAATATAATATAATATAATGTCTAGTTTAATTTAATTAAATTTAATATAATAGTGTCTAATTTAATAAGTGTTTAATGTAATATAGTATAATATAGTCGTGTCTAATTTAATTTAATATAGCAGTGTTTAATAAGTGTGTACTAATGTCTGTACTAACTTTTTTTTCTCTCTCTCTCTCTCTCTCTCTCTCTCTCTCTCAGGTTCTGCTTCCTGGATCACCCCTCCCCTCCACAATGAAGTCTAAGAAGACTTCATTGTGGAGGGGAGGGGTGATCCACAAAGACGACTTCTTTGGGAAGATGGGTGTTATGCATGTTAATGTTGAATAAAATTATTTTAAAATCCATAACCCCCTGCATTTGTCTCTCTGGAAACCCGGGAGGGGACACGGCCCCCTCCTCTCCCTCTGCAGCGGGGTGACACTCCAGGAACCTGGCATCCGGCGCCGAGCGAGCCTTGAACCAGACACCTCTGCATTCTGGCCACTCCCATGCACACTGCGCCACCAAGCTCCCTTCATACTATAACTCCTTCTCCGGGCGCTTTTATCATTTTACTTTGGCTGCTGGACCACAAAATTCACTCAGCCTCATAAGAGAATCGAACACACAACCTCTGGTCTCCTGATCACTCTTCTAACACTCTGCACTATTTGATATAAGACAGTCTGGGTTTCTAACAGCTTTTGACTTGTTTCTACAAACATCTGACTTCATAATTCAGAGTTGAGCAAGGCTCGAACCCCACTTCCAATCAGACAATCATCTGCTTATTCACAGACAGTACCACTGACAGTACAGTCTGTGTCAGTTGTTACTTTTCTTGATCTCTTTGAGGAGAGAACACACAAAATGTAACCTTGGATCATCCTTTTGCAGCTCCTTATCTCACTGAGCTATACCTCAGGCTGGTAATTTGCTGCTTTGTAGTTGTATTTGTTGTTCACATCACTGAGGAGAAACCTTCAAAAGTCTCACAACACATGTGTTTGGATTTGAACCCTCAACCTCTGGTATCAACCACATCAGCTGCTTATCTTCCTGAGCTATTCCTGCTGAGGCTTTTAACTTTTCTCCTGCAAATTTATGGACGTCACAGGTATTAGTGCTTTAAAAAAAATCCATCAATAATAGCTCAGTGAGATAATCTGCTGATGTTTTTCAGTTTTCCCTTCAGCAACATGAACAATAAATACAACAACAACGAACCAGTGACTTGTAATCCTCAGGTGTAACTCGCTGAGATAAGGTGCTGCTACCTGATGATCCTAGCTGTGTACCTGTTAACTAGTTTGTTTGTTTGTTTGTGTTTGGCTGACCTTATAAAAGTCACAACGAACTCCAGTTCTTCATCTTGTTTTCCTCTCCTCTTGATGAAGCAGGAATGAGAGAAGTCTACCTCACTTCCTGTGTTTTCCTCATCGCTGATTGGCTCTTTGTCACTCCTCCTTTAGGGGCCGCTGACTCGTTAACCTGTAGATTTGGTAAGAGGAGTTAATCGTTATTATGTAATCATTTTAGTTGAACTGAGAACTTTATTTATCCTTGTTTAAGATTAACATGAAACATTACATTTTAATTAGTTTGTTTTCTTTCAGAGTCAACAGTCCATGTGTTTCTACACTCATTAATAACCCTTGTTTTGAAGTCAACAAGATGCACATGATAAATTATTCGAGTTAAGAACAGTAGATCCTCTCTGACCCTGTACTCTTCCACGGTTCCCACAGACCGCGTCCTCTACAAAATAAATCATCAGAGTTTGAGTTGCGTTAATTTCAAGTTGAACCGTGGTGCACACATTCAAACCAACCCTGGTGTATGAAATAAAACAAAGTCTACAGTCATTGGAATAATAATCAGAATTTGTGGTACCGTGGTGGAATAAATCAATTAGCCAATATTTTTATTATTATTCCCTGTTTAGGGAACTTTTCATACATTTCCCCGTCTGTATTTTTATCATTTTCTTCTAGTGGGAGCAGATCTTATTGGAGAGAAGATAGAGTATGTAAGTTTGTTGTGATCCCCTGTAGGTGTGTCCTTAAAAAAAATATTCTGGATCTGATGTCCACAATGGTCAACTCATTTTCCTAATTTACATATCTAATACATTTTGTGATGAGCTAACAAAGCAGTTCAGTGCAAATGCTCTAAAACGTCACTTTCTAAACACCAAAGTAGCCAACTGCTTGTTATTCACTCACAGATAACACAGATAACAGTTCAGACGAACATCTCTGCCACAAAGTAGTCTTTTTAACTCTTTTTATGATACAAAAAAGGCCTCAAAGGGCTTCAGCACAGAGATGTTCACTCAGTTGGTCTGTGTCACATTCCTATTCTTCCCAGATGTCCTCCATTGAAGCCACATATCTAGTCTAAACAAGTCAACAACAAATCATACCACGAGGAAGGTGGAGGATTGTATAGTGTTCATTAAATGACAAAGATAGGAGACTTTTCCATAGTTCCCACAGAGCGTGTCAACTCCCTGCAACCATCAAACACAAATAAATGAGCCACACAGTCAGATGATGAAGAGGTTTTCTCCCACAGCTTCAACACTTCCAAACAGTTTTCATAACTAAGATAATGTAAATAACAAAATATTGTTTTTCCTTTTATTGCAAATGTTACTTTTGAATGAGAGCGCAGCTGTGTAGACTTTAAAAAACTTACATTAGCTGTGAAAATGAAACTATTAGTCACAATAAAGGGATGGAAATGGTCGGCTGGCTTCATTACCAGACGAATACAATAATACAAACATAAAATAGAGAAATTATATGACATCAGTGACCAGTGAATGCACCATCAAACTGATAGAAACTAATACTGCTGGCTCATTAATACACATTCAGCAAAATTAAGAAACCATATTGGACTCCAGACGAATAATTATGAAAATGGATTTCCACTTAAGCTTTAGAAAAACAAAGTTTCTTAATCATATTTCTTTTGTCATGTTGTTTTAATATCTCATCCTGTAATTCTGGGAACTCTGGAAAGATTCCTCTAATTCTTCTGTGTATACAATATATATTTTTTGCAGATAATATGGATAGTCCATTTTAATGCCAGTTTTAAATATAATTAGTCACCTATAATATACAACAGCTGTAACATTTATCATGCACACAAACACATGCACTTTTTCTTGTGGTATGATTTGTTGTTGTACACAGACACAAAGAGTAATACCTCTGAGAGCAAATTACAGCTTCTCGCCCAGCAGCAAAAACAATGTTAATGTCTCATTAGCAGAGGAGCCTGTTGTATAAAGTAACACTTCTAAACCACTGAGGCACCGGGCCAATCTGAGGTGTTAAAAAAATAAACTGTAATGATGAAAACAGGTAAACAAGTCAAATAGCAACTTGTGTGATGTGCTTGTGTCACAAAGTTTTCATGGCGGTCTCCCTTAAAGTTGTGGAAAACAAACTTAGGTTCACTTGACTAAAAGAGAATCTATGTTCACACGAGCAGTTCAGATTTTTAGTAGAGGACTTCCCACTAAATAACAAATCTCTTGGACATAGTTGTTTCTTTATGATGGACATTACCTTTTCATCCCAGCAGTAGATGGCGGTCCGATGGTCCTCGGCCTTCAAAGAGACGTAGAGCAGTAAGGGCATAATGAAGGAGAGGCTGAGGCCAGATTCTCCTGCAGCATCCTGCGGAAAGTTGGAATCATTAAACACATTTTAAAAACACTAAAACAAGCCATACTTTATAATTGACACACATGGATTAAGACATAAATGCAATAGTGTTTTGTTTTCACTTCAGTCAGCAATAAGCCATTAATATTAATATTGTGAAATAGGCTTATCTGCTTTCTTGCCGAGAGTTAGAGGAGAAGATGGATTTCACTGTCATATGAAGCTACAGCCAGCAGCTGGTTAGTTTAGCTGAGCATAAAAAATCGGAAAAAAGGAGAAATAGACAAAATACAAAAATTATTACAGTGTACCTTTCAATAGTTAAGCAGTGGCTTCATATTTATTGTATGTACACAAGAGTGGTATCAGTTTCTTCTCTAACTCTGAGTCATAAAGCAATTAAGTTAAAATGTCGAACTTGTGTTGCCAGATTTGGTTTGGAAAGTCAGACCGTAGTATAAGATAGCTAACTCTGCCCTTTATGGAAGACTGACTAATATTTAAAACTTATTAGACGATACAACAGCCAGTAATAAATGCCCCTGTTAAATTATTAATAACTTATTTTGGTGAGGAGCTGAAATATACTCCAGCAAAGGAGATCTTGCACCCCAAAAGTTAATACAAGGATAAAAAATAAATGTGAAAAGATAACTGAGGGAAGCCAAATGGAGAAAGGATGATGAAGTTGAAGATGGTGAGTGACGGAGGTGACATCATCTGGTGGTGGGGCTGCTGGGTTTCTCATTTTGTCACACACGTAATCACTAGTGAAGTACACAATACTGACTTTTCACTGCAAATGGCTGTCTGTTGACCTCTAATGAAACAATCTATGTGCAGCATTTGTGCCTGGGAGCTAAATATTTTCACACATGCAAATATAAAGATAAATACAAACATTGAAATGACGATGATCTAGTGAAGTGAATCTCTTTAGTTGTTCTTTCAGTGGGAAATGTCCTCTTTTCATTTCTTTACCACATTGTCATGAACAAATGTATATTTTAAGCTCTTCTAAGTATAATATTCATATATTTATACTGAATTATTGCTTCCTTCCATGGACTTACCATTTGAGAGGTGTCTGTGTGAATAAAGCCTGAAAATCACAAGGATTAGAAAATGGTTAGAAAGTGAAGGTTCACAGAAATCTGAATAAGAGAGGGAGAATAAAACAACACATGCCCCCCCTTAGGTCCAACTATTGCTGAGCGACCCTCAAACAAGGCATATCTCCCAATGGAGAGTGATTTTAACAGAGCAGCTCTTTAGGTATACATCTGTATGAAATAATGTGTATAATAAGTACACACTTCCGTGATAAATAAATATATCTCAGCAAACCAACAGTCACAAAGCATGCACATTCTGGCTGCAGCCACATGGGGGCGTTGCAATGGAGACTACAGGACACTGTAGAAGACGCTTGCTGCCTCTTTGTACCGCAGAAAGAGCTACAGACCAACACAATATACTAAAAGTCACATTCAGACACATTTTAAAGCATTTCACCACCCTGGTTTCTTCATTTCTTTTAACCAATTCATTGTGATAACATTCTCACCGACGAGCCAACTTCTATTTCACTGTCTACTGTACCTACCCAAAGATAGCAAACAGTCTTAATACCCTATCCCTACAAAAAGATGGATTCTTATTAACACAGTGCTACATGGTCTGTTGTAAAATTGATCTTCAGTTGAAGTAAACTAGAAGTTCAAAACATGAAAACTGAGCTCAAACCGTTGTCTGTTGAACTGAATGAGATGTACACTGAGTAGGTCCTATGACAAATGTATTGAATATGTAAAGGAACCAACTAATGTCTATACACTGGACTTTTCTCTTAATGTATTCACTATTTGTATTATACTTATTTTCCTATTTTATTGTGCTACTTTTATTTATTCCCAGCGCAGGCAGGGAGGAATACTGGGTGGTTAAAATGTGGAGTAACGTTTATGTGAGTGCAGTATGTTTGTACATGTGAGTGTATGTCTATATAAATACAAAACAGAACTTTTTAAATAAAGTTTTTTAAAAAATAATAAAAACAACAGTTTTGAAGTAATTTCATTTTAAATTGCATCTTTTTTGCTCTGTAGTATCTCTGTATGTTTTTTTAGAAGACGATGGGGCATGGTGTGGATTAAAAAACAAATTACACAACCTAATAATGAGAAAACAATAGTACGCACTGATCATTTTGGATTTTTAACCTGCATTTTGTGATGTTCTACTGCATTTAGATGTATTCATTAATTTTAAATGACCATTTGAGCCTTCTGCTGCTTTCAACTAGTCGTTATACTGCATAAAATCCAGTGGCTCAACGTCAGAGTAGTTGAAGGTGTCTACTGAAGAGCATCTATTATTCATACCTTTGCAACGGGTAAAACAAGCCTACTTGTTTAAAACACAGGTTATATTAAATCAAATCTACATATAAACTACATATAAAAATAAATGATGAAAAGGGGGAGAAAAGTTGCATCAGTCATCAGGTGTTTGGAGAGGTGGGAGGGCAGGTTTGAGGAGGATAAATCAGCTGTCTGATGTGGAGCTACAGCTCTTCCCCTCCTCCCTGATGGACGGCACTGGGGGCCCTCCGCTCTGCTTCCCCAACATCAACTCCTCCTGCAGGCGGCTGCTGCGTCCCCACTCTGAGACTGCAGTCCTCTACACCCTGCTGGCCTTCGTCTCTCTGCTCACTGTGACACTCAACCTGCTCGTCATTATCTCCATCTCCCACTTCCGGCAGCTCCACACCCCGACCAACGCCCTGCTCCTCTCCCTGGCTGTGTCCGACCTGGTGGTGGGGCTGCTGGTGATGCCCATCGAGGGCCTGCGCTACATGGAGACGTGCTGGCTGCTGGGGAGGCTGATGTGTGCTCTGACTCCTTATGTTTCTTACTGTCTGCTCTCTGCCTCTTTGGGCCACATGGTGCTCATATCCATAGACCGCTATCTGGCTATCTGTGAGCCACTGCTGTATTCCTCTAAGATCACTCTGACTGATGTTAAAATCTTAATCTGTCTCTGTTGGGCCTGTTCTCTTCTCTACAACGGGTGTATTCTGATAGGACACTTAGGGCGGCCGGACAGGTTCAGCTCCTGCCACGGAGAGTGTGTGGTGGTCATCAGCCACATCTCAGGAATTGTTGACCTCTTTATCACCTTTGTGGGGCCTTGCACTGTCATGGTTGTTCTCTATTTGAGGGTGTTTGTGGTTGCTGTCTCTCAGGTGCGTGTCATTCGGATGCAGACGGCTGCTACCTCTGTCTCTGCAGCTCCAACCGCTAAAAGATCAGAGAGGAAGGCGGCCAGGACTCTTGGGGTTGTGATAGTTGTGTTTTTAATGTGCTTCTGCCCGTATTACTATCCTGCTTTTGTAGGTGAAGACACCTCCACTAGCTTGTCATACTTTGCAGTGTTGTCTTGGATAATGCTGTTGAACTCCTGTGTGAACCCTCTGATTTATGCTCTGTTCTACCCCTGGTTCAGGAAAGCTATCCAACTCATCTGCACCCTCAGAATACTGCAGCCTCACTCCCGACAGGTCAAAGTGCTGTAAGACAGGGCTGAAATCACAGAGACCCTCTACAGAGGCCTCAGGCACAGAGTTTCTCATTTTGTCACACACGTAATCACTAGTGAAGTACACAATACTGACTTTTCACTGCAAATGGCTGTCTGTTGACCTCTAATGAAACAATCTATGTGCAGCATTTGTGCCTGGGAGCTAAATATTTTCACACATGCAAATATAAAGATAAATACAAACATTGAAATGACGATGATCTAGTGAAGTGAATCTCTTTAGTTGTTCTTTCAGTGGGAAATGTCCTCTTTTCATTTCTTTACCACATTGTCATGAACAAATGTATATTTTAAGCTGTTCTAAGTATAATATTCATATATTTATTCTGAATTATTGCTTTCCTTCCATGGACTTACCATTTGAGAGGTGTCTGTGTGAATAAAGCCTGAAAATCACAAGGATTAGAAAATGGTTAGAAAGTGAAGGTTCACAGATACGTTAAAAACAAGCATTTGAAAAGGAAAAATCTGAATAAGAGAGGGAGAATAAAACAGCACATGTCCCCCCCTTAGGTCCTACTATTGCTGAGCGACCCTCAAACAAGGCATATCTCCCAATGGAGAGTGATTTTAACAGAGCAGCTCTTTAGGTATACATCTGTATGAAATAATGTGTATAATAAGTACACACTTCCGTGATAAATAAATATATCTCAGCAAACCAACAGTCACAAAGCATGCACATTCTGGCTAAAGCCACATGGGGGCGTTGCAATGGAGACTACAGGACACTGCAGAAGACACTTGCTGCCTCTTTGTACAGCAGAAAGAGCTACAGACCAACACAATATACTAAAAGTCACATTCAGACACATTTTAAAGCATTTCACCACCCTGGTTTCTTCATTTCTTTTAACCAATTCATTGTGATAACATTCTCACCGACGAGCCAACTTCTATTTCACTGTCTACTGTACCTACCCAAAGATAGCAAACAGTCTTAATACCCTGTCCCTACAAAAAGATGGATTCTTATTAACACAGTGCTACATGGTCTGTTGTAAAATTGATCTTCAGTTGAAGTAAACTAGAAGTTCAAAACATGAAAACTGAGCTCAAACCGTTGTCTGTTGAACTGAATGAGATGTACACTGAGTAGGTCCTATGACAAATGTATTGAATATGTAAAGGAACCAACTAATGTCTATACACTGGACTTTTCTCTTAATGTATTCACTATTTGTATTATACTGATTTTCCTATTTTAGTGTGCTACTTTTATTTATTCCCAGCGCAGGCAGGGAGGAATACTGGGTGGTTAAAATGTGGAGTAACGTTTATGTGAGTGCAGTATGTTTGTACATGTGAGTGTATGTCTATATAAATGCAAAACAGAACTTTTTAAATAAAGTTTTTAAAAAAATGTCTGTTTAAAATAATAAAAATAACAGTTTTGAAGTAATTTCATTTTAAATTGCATCTTTTTTGCTCTGTAGTATCTCTGAATGTTTTTTTAGAAGACGATGGGGCATGGTATGGATTAAAAAACAAATTACACAACCTAATAATGAGAAAACAATAGTACGCACTGATCATTTTGGATTTTTAACCTGCATTTTGTGATGTTCTACTGCATTTAGATGTATTCATTCATTTTAAATGACCATTTCAGTCTTCTGCTGCTTTCAATTAGTCGCTATACTGCATAAAATCCAGTGGCTCAACGTCAGAGTAGTTGAAGGTGTCTACTGAAGAGCATCTATTATTCATACCTTTGCAACGGGTAAAATAAGCCTACTTGTTTAAAACACAGGTTATATTAAATCAAATCTACATATAAACTACATATAAAAATAAATGATGAAAAGGGGGAGAAAAGTTGCATCAGTCATCAGGTGAGTGGAGAGGTGGGAGGGCAGGTTTGAGGAGGATAAATCAGCTGTCTGATGTGGAGCTACAGCTCTTCCCCTCCTCCCTGATGGACGGCACTGGGGGCCCTCCGCTCTGCTTCCCCAACATCAACTCCTCCTGCAGGCGGCTGCTGCGTCCCCACTCTGAGACTGCAGTCCTCTACACCCTGCTGGCCTTCGTCTCTCTGCTCACTGTGACACTCAACCTGCTCGTCATTATCTCCATCTCCCACTTCCGGCAGCTCCACACCCCGACCAACGCCCTGCTCCTCTCCCTGGCTGTGTCCGACCTGGTGGTGGGGCTGCTGGTGATGCCCATCGAGGGCCTGCGCTACATGGAGACGTGCTGGCTGCTGGGGAGGCTGATGTGTGCTCTGACTCCTTATGTTTCTTACTGTCTGCTCTCTGCCTCTTTGGGCCACATGGTGCTCATATCCATAGACCGCTATCTGGCTATCTGTGAGCCACTGCTGTATTGCTCTAAGATCACCCTGAACAGAGTTAAAATCTTAATCTGTCTCTGTTGGGCCTGTTCTCTTCTCTACAACGGGTGTATTCTGATAGGACACTTAGGGCGGTCGGACAGGTTCAGCTCCTGCCACGGAGAGTGTGTGGTGGTCATCAGCCACATCTCAGGCACACTAGACATGTTCTTTTCATTTGTGGGGCCTTGCACTGTCATGGTTGTTCTCTATTTGAGGGTGTTTGTGGTTGCTGTCTCTCAGGTGCGTGTCATTCGGATGCAGACGGCTGCTACCGCTGTCTCTGCAGCTCCAACCGCTAAAAAATCAGAGAGGAAGGCGGCCAGGACTCTTGGGGTTGTGATAGCTGTGTTTTTAATGTGCTTCTGCCCGTATTACTATCCCGCTTTTGCAGGTGAGGACACCTCCACTAGCTTGTCATATTATGCCCTGTTGTCTTGGATAATGCTGTTGAACTCCTGTGTGAACCCTCTGATTTATGCTCTGTTCTACCCCTGGTTCAGGAAAGCTATCCAACTCATCTGCACCCTCAGAATACTGCAGCATCACTCCCGGGAGGTCAAAGTGCTGTAAGACAGGGCTGAAATGAACTGTGTCTGGTCCCTTTTCAGTTTTAATGAAACATGCTGCCTTGTATCACCTGTATGTTTGTTTGTGTGACTCACTGTGTATTCAGTCTGAGCAGCCCTGGACGCCCTCGACAGCGGCCTCAGCTGCAGGCTTTCTCATTTTGTCCCAAACTCTGCAACAAAACATTATTACACATAAGATGAATGAAGTATTTTATATAATTTAAAGAAGAACATTTTCATCATTTATGATTTTGGCAACATATCCAGTTCACAACATTTCATCAACATAAAAATATGTTGCTATTTTACCCGACTGTCATAAAAGCCAAGAAAAGTGACAACATAATGTGATGAGGCTTTATACTATAAGCTTGTCGAATTGCATTATTACTCTTTGGATAAACACAGAAGACTGTTAGTTTATCTGCTTCCTCATTACATTAGTTGCTTTTATCTCCACTGAGAGATTTAAAGTCAGTATGGTTTATTGTCTTATTTTAAAATTCACTATCGCTGTAATCTAACATAGCTTTTATGACCCACCTCTCTGTCATGTTGTCCTCAACACATCGGTGTGTTGTTTTATGATTTCTAACATAAACGATGTGGTCAAATGAAAAAATAAAAGCCTGCAATATCCACTATCTGTCATGCTTTTGTAAATTATTCAGAATTTTGTCTTTTCATCCACAGACTTACCTGTAAGACAGACTTTCTCCCGGCTTGTCTATATGAAGCAGGCCTGGAAATCATAATGGTTGGGGAAATGGTTATTAAATTGAATTTAAAAATATGAATAGACAGAACAGTATAAAACACACTCACCCCTGACTAAGTCGTGAATATTATTGTTTTAAGCTAAGCACTTCACCTCCAGTGGAAAACAGTATACAACTATATTTTTAAGGGCAATTTAAAAAAAAAACTGTAGCTAGGTAAGGTGACTAAGTGCTGGTACAGCAAACAGTCTCACTATCCACGTTTTAATCTTATTTCAGCAATTCATTAAAACAAAAAATGTATTAAGACATATACAATTGGCTTGTTTATGAAGACGTCAATGTTTTGAAATGCTTATGATAGTTTATTCAAGTGCTCCGTTTATTTGATGAAGCCCATTAAAGAATATATGTTAGTTTTGATGAGTATATAATAAAAAAAACCATCCTATAGCCTGTCTTTGATACCATAAGAATATATATATATATATATACAGTTGTGCTCATAGGTTTACATACCCTGGCAGAATTTGTGATTTTTTTTGGCCATTTTTCAGAGAATATGAATGATAAGAGAAAAACTTTTCTTTCACTCATGGTTAGTGGTTGGGTGAAGCCATTTATTGTCTAACAACTCGTTTACTTGTTTTAAATCATAATAAAACTACCAAAATGACCCTGATCAAAAGTTTACATACCCTGGAGATTTTGGCCTGATAACATGCACACAAGTTGACACAAACGGGTTTGAATGGCCACTAAAGGCAACCATCCTCACCTGTGATCTGTTTGCTTGTATTCAGTGTGTGTGTGTATAAAAGGTCAGTGAGTTTCTGAGCTTCTGACAGACCCTTACATCTTTCATCCAGTGCTGCACTGACGTTTCTGGATTCTGAGTCACGGGGAAAGCAAAAGAATTGTCAAAGGATCTGTGGGAAAAGGTAATTGAACTGTATAAAACAGGAAAAAGATATCCAAGGAATTGAGAATGCCAATCAGCAGTGTTCAAACTCTAATTAAGAAGTGGAAAATGAGGGATTCTGTTGAAACCAAACCACGGTCAGGTAGACCAACAAAAATTTCAGCCTGCCAGGAAAATTGTTCGGGATGCAAAGAAAAACCCACAAATAACTTCAGCTGAAATACAGGACTCTGAAAAAAAGTGGTGTGTGAGCTACAAAGGCACAGGAAACTTGGTCAAAATTGATGGCAAGACGAATACAGCATGTTATCAGAAAATACTGGAGGACAATTTGCACTCATCAGCCCGGAAGCTGCACATGGGACGTACCTGGACGTTCCAACATGACAACGATCCAAAACACAAGGCCAAGTCGACCTGTCATTGGCTTCAGCAGAATAAAGTGAAGGTTCTGGAGTGACCATCTCAGTCTCCTGACCTCAATATCATTGAGCCACTCTGGGGAGATCTCAAACGTGCAGTTTCATGCAAGACAGCCCAAGAATTTACAGGAACTGGAGGCTTTTTGCCAAGAAGAATGGGCAGCTTTACCATCTGAGAAAATAAAGCGCCTCATCCACAACTACCACAAAAGACTTCAAGCTGTCATTGATGTTAAAGGGGGCAATAAACGGTATTAAGAACTGGGGTATGTAAACTTTTGATCAGGGTCAATTGGGTAGTTTATGATTTAAAAAGAGTAAACACAGTTGTTTGATAATAAATGGCTTCACCCAACCACTAACCATGAGTGAAAGAAAAGTTTTTGTGTTATCATTCATATTCTCTGAAAAATGGCCAAGAAATCAAAAACTCTGCCAGCCAGGTATGTAAACTTATGAGCACACACACACACACACACACACACACACACACACACACACACACACACACACACACACACACATATATGTTCACACAGTCATATTCAGCTGCAGTGCGGTCATCCCAGGCAGCAAGGGGCGCTGTTACACACCAACATAGTGATATAACGCTACTGCGCTTGTGCAACAACATATCTACAAAACATGACCTCAACCTGAGTCGTGGATTTTAACACAGCCTCATGTGTGTATAACATTTAACGTGTATTTAAAACATGTTACGGATATTGTGTCGGGCCGGCGGAGCTGCTTTTAAGGTACGAACCAGGAGCTGAGTCAATAAACAAGTATCTGTTATTTAAGATTCATATTTGTGCATTTATAGCCGTAAACTTTGTTCATACTTCCTCCATAACTGGTTTTTAATGGTTAGTTAACCCTACACTTAAAGTAGCTCCCAACAATATCTATAATCTATTGGTCTATTATGATGAGCACGCATCGTTTAAATCTGTTTAAATCTGTTTAAAATAGAGAAGTCATTGCAGCGGATTAAATAAACACATTTTAGCTTCAAAGTACGTGCGTTTTACGTGAATGACGTGGTGACGTCACAAACAGACGCTTTCCCCATTGTGTGTGTGTGTGTGTGTGTGTGTGTGTGTGTGTGTGTGTGTGTGTGTGTGTGTGTGTGTGTGTGTGTGTGTGGTTGGTTGATTGATTTGTGCACCACTCTGCTGTCTCTGCAGAACAACCAGAGGACTGTGCCCAGGCTGTGGGTGAGTCCAGTCCCGCAGCGATGGGCCTCCCGTCTACCCATGAACACCGCGGTCCTGTTTGTGCCGCAGCAGGAGGCCTGGGTGGTGCAGAGGATGGGTCGCTTTCACCGGATATTAGAACCGGTGATTCTTTTCTACCAAGGGCTCCACAAGCTCACCTATCCCTCTCTCTGTTTGTGACCATATTTCCTCTCTGTAAAGATGCAGACACACGGAGCACTAACTCTTATTTGTCCTTTCTTTCAGGGACTGAACTTCCTCATTCCCATACTTGACCAAATACGTTACGTGCAGAGCCTTAAAGAGATTGTTATTGACATTCCTGAACAGTCAGCTGTATCTTTAGGTAAGGCTTAGCTGTGTTAATTATTGCTTTCATTAACCATCTTTATGGCTGAATTAACTTGTATTTTCTTTACACAGATAATGTGACGCTGCAAATTGACGGAGTCCTTTTTTTGAGAATCTTAGATCCTTTCAAGGTAAGAATTTGTAAAACAATACTCAGTCTGTTATCAGTACCTGGTTGGCTATTTAGGGAACATTCACTGTGATTTCCCACCCCTCATATGGCTGATGACCAGAGAAATACTAACACAAAACAATGTGTGTAAGTGACTGTAGGAAAATTGTGATCATAGCATGTAAACAGATCCATTAAAAATCTGTTCAGACCCTCACACACAATTTATTTTACACTACTATAAATTATTTGTTAAATCAGTCAGTCATTTGCGACTGAAGTAGCTAATGATTAATAATCTTCCCTGATTGTAGTGCTGTGCTTTTGCCAGCAGGTGGCGCCAGTTAGTCCGATTATTCATGAACTGCTCCTCATGGAGGCTGATGAGTTGTGTGTCTCTCCAGGCTAGTTATGGTGTAGAGGATCCAGAGTATGCAGTTACTCAGCTCGCACAAACCACAATGCGTTCAGAACTGGGCAAACTCACCATGGACAAAGTATTCAGGGTAAGAAACATCTGCTCGGTGTGTATTTCATTGCAACAAGTGAAGTACCTTAAACCTGCTGACCTGAATCTCTCTGGTTTTTAAGGAAAGGGAGTCTCTTAACTCCAACATCGTCCACTCCATCAACCAGGCGTCAGACGAGTGGGGCATCCGCTGCCTGCGTTATGAAATCAAAGACATACAGATTCCACCTCGTGTTAAAGAGTCAATGCAGATGCAGGTATGACACATGTAACCATAACAACCACTTCAATACACTGACCTGTTTAGGAAGTGATTTAAAGTGAAGCTTGCAGCTATAATTTGCAGAAAACTAAATGTAAATCCTAATTTCTTTGTTATACAACTTTCTTATTGTCCCTATAATTCACCGTTAGTAATATTCTGTGCAGTGCCGTCTTGTTTGCAGGTGACATAAGTAGTATTATATTCACTTTAAGAACTTGTGTGCACAGTGATAGTTCGTTAATACACTTGAGAGTTCCTAGAGGTTATTAAAAAAGGTCACACCCAACCACTTGGGGTTTCTAAGATAATTTAGTTTCCCATGGGGAGAAATCTTTTGACGTCCTTCTTTGTTCTTTTGTTTCCTGTGTAGGTGGAGGCTGAGCGAAAGAAGAGAGCCACAGTGCTGGAGTCCGAGGGGGCGCGGGAAGCAGCTATCAACGTTGCAGAGGGTTGCAAACAAGCCCAAATCCTGGCTTCAGAGGGACAGAAGGCAGAGCAGATAAACAAAGCATCCGGTCAGTTTTACTTTTGACTTGAAGAAACAACAGTTTAACTTGGATTTTTCCATTGACTCAGTTACATGCGTGAATCATTCGATCACATATGTAATTGAAGGTCTTGTTAATGTAAGACTCAGGCCGTCATTACACGAAATCCACAAAGCATTTAATTACATGCCTGCAGACTGCGTTACAACACTGCACGGGGATCTCACGACTCAGACATCTAACACGGCTACTGACAACTTGCAACCGCATTAGAGTAGAAGTGAATGAAAAGAAAGGTTAAGAAAGGAGGTTTAAAGCCTCCAATAAACCCAAAACAAATCTTCTTTTGTTATTAATTTACATGCTGTGTTGTCTCTAGGTGAGGCCCAAGCTGTGATAGCCAAAGCAGAGGCCAAATCCAAGGCTATTCGTCTGCTGTCAGAGGCTCTGGCTGAAGAGGTTTGAAGTTTATTCCTTTGTCATTAAAGGATTAGAAGTGATCCTGCATTATTTGGAAAATGTTATTCCCAGTATTTTACCGTAACCAGAATTTTGATTGCCTTCTTGACAGAACGGAAGTGCTGCCGCCTCGCTGAGCGTTGCCGAGCAGTACGTCTCTGCTTTCTCCAACCTCGCCAAAAAGTCCAACACTGTGCTTCTGCCCTCTAACACCGGTGACGTCAGTGGAATGGTCACACAGGTATCATGTTTACTGCCCACTAATCTCAGGATTAGGGTCACTGTTTGATATGTTTTTAGTCAAAGGAATAGTTTGACATTTCGGGGGAATGCGCTTATTCGCTTTCTAGCTGAGAGTTAGATCCAGGACAAGTGTACGAATGAATTAAACTCACAAGATATAACTGTGTTAACTAGTGAGCTTTGGAGGCGTTGGTAGGGAGGTTTCTTCCTCTTCACAGTTTCTTCTAATACAGTTATATTATGTATACATAAACTTAATAAACATTTACAGACTATATAAGGACTCCTCAGACAGTTCTGGTCATGTGTTTAGCCACTGTTGTAATAATCACATAGGGATTTAATTAAACTCCAGGTAACCATAGTAACAATTGTTGACACTACACTCACTGCAATACGAGTTATCTCAGTGATGACAATAACACTATCCATTTTTCTTTAATAAGCTGTCACAGTATAGGCATGATGGCACACACTCAAGTGGTCTAGAGATAGAAATTAAAAATTAATTAAAAAGGAGTCAACAGTGTCGGGTTCTCCTCCTCCACCTCATCCACTATCTTTCCATATCAAGACACCTCGTCTTTAAATATCACTAACTTAAACATACTGCAGAGGGTTTAACGGGTTATGAAAACAACGGTTATTTCTATATAGTTATTCTTGCCACAAGGTCATATTCGGTCACTACCGCTTTTGTCCACAGGGGCCGCCAGAACCAACACAAAAAGAAATGTCCTTGTTGCTGCTTTAACTGTTGCTATATGTGGGTAACGCTTTCCATCTTGCTCTTCTATCCCTCAGGCTATGACCATTTATAGCACACTTGCCACACCGAAGCCAAATGTTGAGAGCATAAAGGCCGAGACAGAGGAACCCAGTGAACAGCCTCCAGTCCAGTCTTCAGCTCAGTAGCAGAGGACGCCGTTGCTGCTCCAAACTGTGGCAGACAGTGATAAAGGAAGAAGCACTTTTCCATAATTATAGAGTACAATGGCTCTGCTGTGTGGACTCACTGTCTGGTGCAAAGGACACTATCTACTGCGGGGCACAGGATGTTGAGGCTGAAGAGCGGCACTTGATAAAAAGGAGACGGACGATGCCGAGCAAGGACGGCTGGGAAAAGAGAACTGAGCCACAAGTTATGGTCCTTGTGTGGTTCAGGCGTTGTATCTGGACTCATGCACTGTGCTGTAAATTGTATGCGTGATAGGGACATTTACTCTGCAACTGTGATATTATGTAGACATGGCTGAACATTTCAGGTCCGTTGTCGCCCAGTCTTATTCGTCATGGTTGAAATATAATTGAGTATATTTATTTTTTTATTTTCTACATTGCATAAAATCCTTAAAAAATTAAGAAACGTTTTGGGGGGGTGGGGTGTAGTCCAAAACCTTAAAGCACTAAGAAAACAGCATTCGGAGGATAATGTATAATTAAATTAATTATAAATAAATTCAATTATTTGGGTGTAGATGTTGCGTTAATGACTGGATAAAGGAAATATGGGCACTAAGTAAAAATAAAAGTTTGTCTGAGCAGTGACAGGTTGTGTTATTAACATCGCAGCACTCAGGTTTCTCCACTGAAGTATCAGTTTTTTAACATTTGTACAACATCAGAGATGAAGCTTCAGTTGGTGTTGACGAGTCGTTCAAATAGATTATTACTATTCAAAAACTGTTTCCAAGTTTCTAGTTTTCATAAATGCACCGCTGACATTGACGATCTCGTTATAATTAGTGCAAGTGTTGTTTCCCTCTCGAGAAATTTAAAGCTTAGCAAGTTTGGACAGCTCCTGATGATTTAACAATGTTTATTATTATTATTTAGTTTTTCTGCTGTGTAAAATCTGATAGTTTAGACATTTTAGACACATATTTCCACTGTATGAGATCAGTCAGTCTCAGATTAGTTTGATTTTGAGCAGGTTCACAAAGTTCCTCTGGCACAGACGGGCATGGCAAATAAAACCGTGGTCACAGTTAATGACCGAACATATATAACATATAATAGGTATGTTTTCATTAGTTTATAATAATCAACAGTATGAACCAGAATGAATAAAACCCTGGTCCTGGATACAACCTTTCGTGAGCTCTGCAGCCACCGTAGTTTCTCCTACAGTTTGTTTCAACTAGTTGCAGTCTACAACTTCACCGCTAGATGCCACTAAATCCTACACAAAAGGAAATCGCGTACATTACTTTGGTACTTTATGTGTGACAAAAGCTCGGCGCCACAGTATAGCCAATGCATAATATAATAACACTGCTATAAAAACAGAAAGTCCCACATGTGTTAAGACGTGCACTCAGTTTAACGTGGTTATTAGTCTGTGAGAGAATCCTCTCAAAAGAAAAATGCACTGTAGGCCTGAGGGTGAGGACCACCCAGGAGGATGTGAGATTAGAATAAGAGGGACATGATTTATTTATCCCACACAAAATTATCTATATTCTATTATTTTTTTTTTACTTTAGCTGACTTCATTTAGGCTTAGGTTTTGCTTGTGTTCCTCTGGGGAGGATTATGGTCAATAAATATTTTATCAGAGAGATTTAAATTCTCCCCTTTACCCCCCCAAGGAAACAGTTAATCCTTTCCTCCCTGACAGATAAAGTAAATGTCATCTCATACATATTCATTTTTAAAGTGGCAGCTGATTTGTTTTCTCTTTATAAACACAGAAATTAGACCCTTTGTTTGTTGGTGCCACAGATTTCAACAGAACAGGATAAAGCCTGATATGACAAACTAATAAACTTTACTCTCTATAATCTCTAATTCTATGCTGCGAGCTCACATGATGAAATGGAGGAAGCAATGACTGGAATGTGGAATTTGGTTGCATGGATTTCAACACATAAAGCGTACTGCAAGCAGACACTTGCCACAGTGTGCGTGCATGTGTGAGTGTGCGGGGGTGTGTGTCTTTAATCCTCTGGAAAGGCTGGCAGTGACTGGCCCAAAAATCGGATGTTTTCTCATTCGAGCGTTTCCCAGACACACCTCTTTCTTCCTCCTCGTCGATGTCGGCCTCCTGTCTGTCCTCTTCTTCTTTTCCAGTCCTCCAGTCCCCATAATTTGTTTTACAGTTGTCAGTAACTGCTTTGGCCTGGGAGAGAGGGGGGTGGGAGATATCATAATTTAGACAAAGATGTAAGCTCCCTCTGCTGTTCACCTCTTCCCACCCTCCTCCTCCTCCTCATCCTTCATGACACACAGACACACATGCCCACAGCCTTGGGGCAGTATAGTTAAGGAGGTATGCAAAGTTTGTCATTTTTAGGACCTTAAACAGCCATACCAGAGGGAGAAAGAATGGGAAAAGAGCTGAGGGGGGAGGGAAGAAGGCAACAATGGAGCTTGATGAAGTGTGAAGGAGTAAAGACAGGAAAGGTGTTTGGAGCTGCAGGTGTGAGACCAATTTTGTGGCTTTATCTCTGTCTCTCTCTCTCTCTCTCTCTCTCTCACACACACACACACACACACACACACACACACACACACACACACACAAAGACTAGTCTTGACATTGAAATACTGGTTGCTGAGGTGAAGAGAAACCAGCAGGAATCGGGGGCAGCCGACATAAAGCAGAAATGGCAGAGAAAGAGAGAGAGACAGCAAACGTATTAGCAGCTCATAAAAAGGCACTTAGAGCCGCAGTTAAGCAACTCACACATTCATCACCGCTGGCTGCTACTGAACACACGCATTTTTAAAGTCTCAACGGCAAGCTGCTCCCATTATGAGGAATTACAAAGATGGAAGGACACAGATAAATGAGAGAGTAAGGGAAAGAGAGATAAGGAATGTGGGAGGATAATCTGATTTTATAACCGGTGTTTGAACATGAGGGGTTTTTTTGTCTGAGAGGATGTCTTTTTGAGAAGTTATAAAACCCACAGCAAGAAATAACCTCTCCTCAGTGAATTTAAATCACAAACAGAAAAAGATGATGGCATGTGTTGAGAGAAAGTGTGTCAGTGCCAAGGCGCTGCCTGGCTCTGTAGACGCTGCATAGCCTGCAATTTCTGAGGGAAAAAAAAGAGTGTGCACCAGTATAATAAGCTATAAGGCACGAATCATCTCTTTCAAAACTTTACTCCGCCCACAAGATACAATCCTTCCATTCTTGCATTGTTTCTCATTCACTCCACCAGGATGAGCAGGACGCACATCCACTCCGTTAGGACAAGAACTTAATACCAAAAGCTGGACACTTTTCTGGGATTTGGAATAAGCTCTTCCTCTTTTTTTCCTCTCTCGCCCTCTTTGATGCTTTTCTAAACGATCAGACAGCCCGTCAGAAAAAGTTGTGACAGATTTAGAAAGCGGTTAAAAAGCAGAGAAAGTCCAGAGAGAGACAGACAGAGCTTTGCCCTGGAGGTTTCTGAGGAGGAAACAGGAGACAGATAAAGAGGCAGCAATAAGCTGAGAGAGAGACAGACAGACAGACAGACAGAGGGAGGGAAGAGCACAGCTGTTGTGTGAAGAGAAAATATAGATAAAGAAAGCGGGGAGGTGTGAAGGGCGAAGAGAAGAGACTTACGAGGACAACCAAGGCTAGAGAGGAAGAAAAAGGGACACGCATGGGAGAGTCAGCAAATAAAAGACACGAGGTTGAGGAATAATTCAAGTTGAAGGTCACGAAACACAGAGAGAAGAAAAGCTGAAGAGATAAAACGCAAACAGAGACTAATAGTTGTTTCAAGAAGTAAGCAGACACCTGACATCAACAGGGAGAATGGAGACGCAGCGAGACCAGAGGAAAGACTTCCTCTGAAGTCAAAAGAAAAAAAGGGAACTGTGTTTGACAGAAAGAAGAGGAGACTGATTTCCTCATCATGTTTTATTCAGCTCTTTTCCCAAATTCAAACAACCTGCGCCGGAAGAGCAACTTCGTCCCAGGATAAAATGAAGAGAGGAGCAAAGAGATACCTGCCGAGTCTGTGATACCCTCCTGCTCCTCCTTTTCCTCCCCTTCACCTCAGACTCCTCCACCTTCTTCTCCTCCTTCCTCTCTTTCACTTTACATCCAGCTTTAAATTCACCAACTTCCTTCTCCTCCTCTGTCCGGACATCTCCTCTCCTCTCCTCTCCATCTCCTCACTATGTGGATACCAGCTTTGCTCCTATGGATTCTTAATATCGGCAATTTGTGCTCAGGACAAGACTATATGGACTATTACCAAACTGGAGACATGGGCACCGAGGTGAGACATTCACATTCACATTCATTTCTCCATCATCTGTAAAAACACATTTGAACTTAAACATGGCTGTACTGTTTCTCATTGGCTTTGGACCAAACCACTGAGGAGTTTCACTAACTTCTACTGCTTTTAAATGTGTGTCTACTACTGATCACATACAAGTGATACATTAATACAACATCTTACAACATCTAAGAAAGATTTTGAAGCTGCACTCTCCCCATTATAAAAACACTGAATCTTTTCAGAAGAAACTCTGTTAGTTAAGCTAAAAAACCTCTGTTTTCAGGAAGTCTCATTGAGATCAATATCGCTTTTACAAGAGAGACCTGACAAACAAAGTCTGTGTACACAACATCTTAACGAGACAATTCAGTCATACAATGATCCATCCAGTGGTTTAAGGGTAGTGGCAGCTGCATGGGCAACAGGATATCTCTATAATCCAGTGTAGAGGATAATGGATTGGATGATGGTTTTTTTTTCATTTTGTAAGGAGACACAAGCATTGTTCTGGTATAAGAATCCAATCTTTTCAGGGTTTTATAGGACGATCTTCTGTCTAACAAAAAAAGCATTTATAATGCTGTAATGTGTCTATGAGATTAACATGAGGATTAGAAATCGGAGAAGGAATATCAAAGCTCGGTGCTCTTTGTGAAATACAAACGTTTTGTCTTTTTAGAGCTTTGAACAAGCTTTAAATTTATAGAAAGACCTGTTTTGCTGTAGAGCTGATGGCACAAGATAGTATTGTCAGCATAAACACATACATTTCAATGTTACATTGAAAAGGAATATAGATTCAGTATAAGTGCAGAATAAAAACAGGGAACCTGAAATTGATCCCTGTGGAACACCAACAGCAGCCCAAACCAGACACATATGATTTGAACCAGATTTAAGCAGAATAATCAAAACCAACATAAAGCAACCTAATTAGCAACATTTCAGGATTTATTATTCTACAACAAAATGTAAGCTCCCTGTCTGCTGCACAAAAACACAAAAAACTATTATTTATGGGTCAGAGGTGAAATTGAGGAGCCTCAAACTCATCATGATTCTGTCATAATCAATGAAAAGCCTTTGACACATCCACAGAGAGCACTGCACAATGCTGCTTTTTACCAAGCGAGTTAACAATGTCGTCCACAAGTTGCAGCAGTTATTGTATTATGAGCAGGTTTTAAATCCTGACTGCTGTAGCGGGAGGATATTATTTGCCTGAGTTGGCCAGTGATCCTAGGAGTTCAGACAGACAGGTATTAGAAGGCTTAGATATAGGCCAATAATTGTTAAGGTCAGAAGTATAACCATCTTCATGTAATGTGTTCATCCCATCATCTCTAAGGCCCTTTATGTTGGTTTTTCTTTAAATATACATTTAAATAATGTATATTAACAACTAAAATAACAAAAAAAAAACACAATACAATAGTTGTTATTATCCAAAAGCTTTTAAATCATTGACCACTGGAAACAATCAAAGCAGGTCTCTTGGTTATAAAAGCAGTGTCAAACATGTTTCCTGTTTGACCTCATTTCAAATAATACTATGAGCACAGTTCTGTGTAAAAGTAATTTGCCTCCTACTTTACTGTAAATGCTGTTTATGAGCCAGCCAGCAAACTATCTGGTGTTCAGTTTCAAGCTCTGCTGAATTCTGGCAGATGGGTTCTTCTGTGGAAGTTTCTCTGTGGTTACACAAAAAGCTTCCTTGTCAAAAATATCTTTAATAGCAGTGTTTCATGCTCCTCACTCAATTATTGATGTTATAGCTGCATCCACAAGTGGCAAAGTGGAATATCGACTGTTAAAATGGATAAATTAAAGTGTGTCTGTACGCAACAATAGCTTCATACATAAGAAGTTAATCGAGGAAGACGGAGTAAGTGACAAATACGTGGGTGTGTGCATGTGCGTGTGTATGTCTGCCAGAAGTATCTGATGATGGTCATTCGTCCATCATGACCTCATACTCCCACAGCGATGACCTCATGTCACGTGACCACTTTACAACACAAAAGGAGAGAGAGAGAGAGAGAGAGACCGAGAGAGAGAGAGACAAAAGAAAAAGAGGAACTCTGGGAAGACGTTGAAAGGAATAGAGACGAATCCATGTTCAGTGTGTATAATTACAACAATACTCCGTAGAGATTCTCCAATATAGCAGCGTACTATTGATTATTATCTGCTTGAACAATGAACTTTAAGGTACTTTAATGAGAGAGGAAAACCTTTGACCCTTAGAGTTGGTTATGGTTTCCCACTTATTATTAACTACTACTAAAAGCCATGTTTCACAGAGTTATGGAGGCTTAAATGGTAACGTGGCTCAAATACACCTGCAAAAAGTATGAGTGAAGCTATAAGTAAATGTAAATATACTGGCAACTTTATAGCCTCTACTCCAAGTCATTACATTGGTTCTTTTACTCTATACAACCACAAGTCACTGCCTTCACTAGCTTCAGGTTAGTTGGTCCAGACGGAAATATCTCAGCAGCTACTGGATGGATTAAATTAATTCCCAGAGGATGAATTTCCTGACTTTTCCACTAGGTTTTGAGTGAAAATGCTTCGAATACCATTGGATGGATTGACATTAAATTTGCTTGAGACATTCATGTCCCCCTCAGGATGAGCTGTTATTACTTTGGTGATTCCCTGATGTTTTACTAATCACTCCAATACTTCTTTTATGACCAAATACCTGAAAAAGCAATGACATTTCCACCAGCCTCAGCTGTGCTTTTACTGTTAAATTCTAATTAGATCTTGTTTAAATACAATTCTTGTTTTGGAGGGATTGTAGAAGTTACAGAGAATAAAGAACAGGGGAGCATAAGAGGAATAAAGCACAATAAAAAAAAAGCTGTGAGACACTGACAGAACTTATTTTTCTGTCAAAAATTATAGAAATATGCTGAGACAGATGAGATGGATGGAAAGAAACAGAAAGGGAGGGGGAGAGAAAGAGAGTGAGAAAGAGATAAATGGAAAGACTGATAACGGCAGAGATCTGGTTTCTGTTTAGGTAATGCCAGCTGTACCAGTCTGCTCCTTCTCAGCCTGGGAAACTAAACAACCACCCTTGCTCCCTGGAGGAATTAATGCGTGACACTCACATGTCCCAGCTGACATTCAGTCCCTCCAGATGATACCAAGTCCTCCGTCATCCAGCCTGTTACACAATTAACGTTTTATCTTTGATCTACTGTATTTCCACAGAGTATAATAGAGTCATCTATCAATGATGGCAGAAAAATCATTATGGGGATGACTCACAGCAGGAATGGTTTATAGAGCAATATCTACTGTCAACTGAGATTTCCTGCATGGACCTGGTGCACCACATAAAGCCTACATTGTACAACAATAATAATAATAATAATAATGATGTGGCTTTCTGTTTGGGTGATTTAAGTAGGGTTAATGCCGCATTTAAGGACTCTTTAGACGTACTTACGTAGGAGACTTGAGGTTGGTCATGCACAGCACATTAAGGGAATGTACCATGAAAGGTTGTCAAAAAAAAGTGATTGATACTGCAACCAAAAGGACAGAAAAATATAGAAAATACAGATGAAACAGTCAGATTCCCTCAAGGGCTCTGCAGCAGCAGGAAACTTCAATAAAAGGGAACCACACAAAAAGACGGAAAAGTGCAAAGAAAACGCAGACTTTACAGCTTCCTTGTGTACTTAAACGCAACAGTGTGTGTGTGTGTGTGTGTGTGTGTGTGTGTGTGTGTGTGTGTGTGTGTGCAGGTGAGGAGAGGACGCGCGTACCCATAATAACCAACAGTAGCCAACAGCAACATGTTACAACACATTGGTTGCTGAGGTATTCACTGTTTATCCAGCTCAAACCAGCGAAGCTTACACAGTAAATTCTACAGTATTGTAATAGTTTTCTTCCAAAAAACACATAATCGCCTTCAATTCTAACATTTTAAAATATAACAAGAGAAGAAATTGTAAGCATTTCTGTCATAATTACTATATTACTACAAAGGATATCGGGTCTAAAAAGTGGTCACTTATGATCCAAATGCAAGTTTCCAGTCTCTTTGTATCTCTTATTCTTTCCCCCCTTTGTGATGTGGCAACATTTAGAGTCACATTTATCTATATGATTCCCATCTTACAGGCTCCAGCGTTGTCAGACGACCAGCCCAGTTTGGAGACAGTGACAAGTATGGATCAGCTATTACAGCTCCTGTACCCCGAGTACAGCTTGCTCCAGCAGTGCCTGAGGAAGAAATCGTGGCACGTCTCCTCTTCCCCCTCTTTTCCCTCCTCCTCGGGAAGCCCTTTAGTCCACTCTAACAATGAGGATCTGTGGGGTCAGCCGAGGGAGGAGGCTCTTTACAAAGTGGACGGGACTTTGGGAGGTAAAGATTGAAATATTTCCTACAAAGTAGATCAACTGCTACTTTCGTGAAAGTCTATACAGAACCAGATCACTTCCAACATGTGTCTAAATTTGTAATGATAGCAGGCCAGTCTACATTATGTTAACACTCTAAAGTGGACTGCCAGACAGATTTGATTGCACTGGAGACAGATAAAAGTAGGTGGTAAATGCAGAAAATAGAGAAAAGAAGCCTAGTTGGAAACAAAGACTGGAAAATGAGGACTAGATACGTGATTAGAGAGGTTGGTGACTTCCTGCCATCACCCAAAAACCACTAATAACAGATAAAGTCAAGCTCTCTGTATCAACAAGCAAAACCCAGTTACTCAATCACATATGTTTTCAGTCATCCTGGAGGAGATCCAGCGGACCTCATGCCAGCCCAGAGAGGTGTGTGTCGAGGTCGCCAAAGAATACCCAGAATCCACCAGTCAATTCTACCTCCCTCGCTGCGTGGCGCTGCATCGGTGCGGTGGATGCTGCACCAACGAGGCCCTTTACTGTGCGAACACAAGTCACACACTTGTCAACAAGACGGTAAGCGGTGCAGCTGGATTCTCAAGACACTTTTTTTAGCTCTTGAAATATTCAACACTCGCTCACGTTACACGATTATGTCCCTACACCTCAAACTGCCCCAGGAAAGAGGACAGAAACCAATCTGCCCAGTTACATAACAACTGTATCACAACACGCCCTAACTGCAGTGGACGCCCTTTGGCTGCAACTGGACATCGAGTCAACACAACACAGCCACGCACACAGTTGCACAATCTACAACAATTACATCAACTTGTACACATCAGCAGCAACATTTCAGAGAGAGCAGAGCAGCAGAATAACAAGGAGGAAAAAAAAAAGATAAACTGTTTTCTTACATAATCTACAGTCACACCTTTGTCTTTCTTTTCTTGCAGCTGATGGAGCTGTCCCCACCCAGGATGGATCGCTCCGTCGTCATGGTAACCTTCGTCAACCACACTACGTGCGAGTGCCTCTCCAAGCGGCCGCTTCACTCCATCATAAGACGAGCCACAACAGATCACCTGTGAGTGAGAGTGTTTACAAAACATTTCTGAGTCATGTTTCCTGTATCCATGCATTGGTAATATATTAATGTGTGTGTGCGTGTGTGTGTGTGTGTGTGTGTGTGTGTGTGTGTGTGTGTGTGTGTGTGTGTGTGTGTGTTTGTGTTTGTGTGTGTGTAGGTGCTCTCCACCCGAAGTTCCCTGTGCCTCTGGGTCATTATGGGATCCAGTGAACTGTGTGTGCGTCTCCACAGACACCATAAACTACTCTGACACTCGTAAGTGTACATGTGCTATCACAGCTGCGTGTTCACTTCAACCTTAAGGGGGTTTTAATATGAGACTTCTCTATTATACCCAGTTTTCTTCCTGACCTTTCTCTAATTTGTGCTGGTTTTCCTGTGAAATAGTGAATACTTTCAGCTCTTCTGGCCTCTGAAATCAGTCAAATGAATCACGAGGGGACCGAGAAGGTTGTGAAACAGGTCATTTTGAGGTCCTGATCCAATACTTTAAAAAATAAAATAAAAAAACTCATATTAATTGGCAGAATCAATATTATTTAAATGAATATTCTCCCTTAAATTTTTATATTTATTTCAGTCAATTCCTCTTACACCTCCTCCAGCCTTTTTCTCCAGCATTTAGAAAGCATTCACGGACTTTACTTGGAATAAAAGATGATCCATGATTCATGTTCAAAATCAATAAAGATATGTGATACGAAAAGAAATAGGATGGAAAATGAAACTTACTGGTAGAACTCATAAGTATTTAGAGCAAATTTAACCTCAGTAAAGGGTTGAGATCAGGATGTCAAAAGAGAAACATGCACAACTTAATACAACAGTTTTTACAAGTACAACAGGATTTACCTCGTGGGTACAATACTGCAGTCGGACCAGCGGTTGGATGGCGTGATGATACAGCAGCAGGTTTCAGGATCAGACAGTGGAGAACCTTAAACCTTGAAACAAACACAACACCAGGTGATTTCACTGATGGAAGTGGAAACCACCTGCTGCAGAGCTGGTTGGAGGGAAAACCTGCACAATCTCGTCCCTACACAGCGTAAACCCGCTGTTGCAGTGTGGAGTGCCCAAAATACTAATAATAAAATAATGCTTTTATTCATTATATGTGTTTTTAAAAAGTGGATATTGTCCTGCTGTTGCTTTGTGAACTAACAGCACTGAAAACATCAAAGCGTACAGTCATGAACAAATGTGGCAACACCTTAATTGAGCAGGTTTCAGGATGTGAGCCAGATTTCAGTTCGGTTTCTTTCAAAAGCTCATGATGACGATGATGTCTGACGATGATCTGAAACATCTTCTCCCAGAGGGAATGTTTATTCAAGTGTAATGTGAGAATTGAAAGTGTCTTTGTGGCATTTTACTTGTACAATCATGCAGCAAACTACAGTGTGTACAGCTACTTCTTCTTTTTATAATAATAAACTGGGAAACCTTACTTATCACAGACTGAAAATAGATACCACTGGGAAAGAGTGTGAATGGAATACAAATTATATATATGAACATTTTAGACATAGTAGGACAAACGTTTCAAATTGACCTTTCCTGGGAATTGTACTTAAAACCTTTCTGATGAATGTAAATAGAAAATGATTTTTTTTTTACACAAAGCTCAACTGAGAATATAAAAAAAGAAAATGCTAGATTCTTTACAACTTTAACCACCAGTACTGTTGCAACCTGCCCTACGGTATTCTTGTAACTAGGCTAAAAGAGTCAACAGGCTCTATGAACTCAGACAGGTTAACCATCTTAGTTTAGCCTGTAAGCATGTTAAACTTTACTAATTAGTACTAAAAACAAAGTGCAACTGAGGGTGATGTTGTTAGTGATGCAGGTATTTGACCTCTTGATGGTGCTAGATTGAAAGTCAGGGGATCCCTACAATTATATTTGTCCTCTGAGGACTCTGAATATCTGAATAATCAGTAGGATTCATCCTCTGGAGAACATCTGTACATCCTTGATCTATTCAGTAGTTTCTGAGATACACCAGCATTAACATCAACAGAAAGACAAAACAAAGCTGGAAAAACAACTAAATACCATTTTTACTTCTTTTCCATGTGAATCCAGAGGCGCTGGACTCAGGTCTGCTGGCTCTCTGTGGGCCCAACAGGGTTCTGGATGACTCCACTTGCGACTGCGTCTGTCGAAACGGACTCACCGAGGACAGCTGCGATCCAGGCTGGAAACTGGACCACAAAAACTGTGAGGATGATTTTAGTTATTGGAAATATTTCGCATGACACTGAGAGTTTAAAACCCCAGAGTCTGGACCACAGCTTGAACAGGGACGCCATAAGTGGTAAAAGAAACATTTCTCATCAGCTACCTCTGGCCTTAGTTTCACATTTACTGCACATATACCAAACTGCTGAGAAAAGGGCTGTCATTCTGAGAGCAACCAGGCAAGATCGAGCCAGTAAGGATAACCACAGATAGGGGAAGTTTTGAACGACAAGTCAGAACCCGACCACCAAATATTTAGCACCGACAGAAAGTGCAGGATGCAATATCTGATTTACTATCTCCTCTCTCAGGTGAATGCCAGTGTGAAGGCCAAGGCGAGGGGAAGCTGTGTCCCACCGGCCAGCGCTGGGACGAGGAGCTGTGCGGCTGCGTGTGCGCTGCAGAGTGTCCCGGGAACCAGCCCCTCAACCCTGACACCTGCCTGTGTCAGTGCAGAGAGAGTGCGCAGTCGTGTCTGCGGCAGGGCAAGAGGTTCAACTCCAACACCTGCAGGTAGGCGTACCAGAAGGCCCCCGGATCCTGCCAAAACTCTCTCAGCTCAGCACTCTAAGCTCCTTGTGGAAAGGAGCACGCAGAGAGAGAATGTCTCCTTTGGGAGATTAAATTATCCCAAGTATCCACACTCTCAGTCTCGGGCCAACTAGACTCTTAACTCGTAAAACCCCCTGTGCACTGAGCCGATCTCGCTTCTGTATAGGCAACAACATTAACGCTGTATAACCTTTACTAATACATTTTTACATTTGTGGCAGCAGGAATTTCTTGTTACCAAACTTAATGATGTCAACAACTACATTTCCCCCCCTGTCAGCATCTGAAAGGCTAAAAATGGTGTTTATGAATGAATCTCTGGTTTCCCAGTTGCGTCAAAACAATTCATTTGAATTTATAAGATCCTCTTTTCTGACTTCCACAGTTCCGTAAAATAAAATTCCATAAAAATGACCAAAAGTAAACTCACATTTCCAGACGTTTTACAGCCGTACTGCACTTTGTGTTGCGCTGCACAAAGACAGTGACTACCATATGTGGTCTAGACACACTCAAACTCCTTTTATAGAAGCATTAACATTTTTAAGCAGCAATAGGTGTATGTAACATGGGGGTCTAGGGCCAAAAGAGGGCCTGATCTCTTGGACACTGATGATCAGTGTCCTGGCAAAAAAAGAAATAATTGTACTGACTCTACTGATTTCAGAGCACGTTTTTACTGGTTTTTACAATGATAATTTGGATATTTATGTGCTTTGATAATGGCTGTTTATTACGTGGCAAACCATAGTCTGTGGTTAGTGGCTGCGTTTCATTAGTCGTTCAACACGCCCTCGTTCACTTGCCCTCAGGGGAATCCCCGCCGCCATCATAAGTGTTGTTCCAATTGTCTGGAAAACTGAAGTGAACATGGTGAGATGGACCCTCGGAGGGCTGAGGGAGCGAGTGAACAATGATGGTCACTCCGAGGTGGATATCACCCACAATGCATTGCAGTTTACGTCATTGCTGCTATAACGCAGAGTAAGGGCAAGTGCGTTTCATTTAAATCCCCCGCTCCTCCCCCGCCCACTTTCCCTCCGCGCTCCAAGTGGCCTCCGTGCGACGTATGCTGTTACGTCATACCAAGGGCTGAGGGGAAGTGGAACTACTAATGAAACGCAGCCTCCGTGTCACTCTTGCTGTTCCTCATATTAGTGCTGATGAACTGATTCACTCTTTAAAGCTCCAACTTAGTGTTTTGGAGCTGTTGCTACAAGACGGTTCCTGCATTACATGAACTAAATGACTTGTATGTGTTATTAAAAGACATAAGTCAGGTTGTGTAGTATCAGCACCATCAAATCTCCACTAAAGTGTTTAAGGATTGATTTTAATGCACCTTTAAATTCTCTAAATTGTGCACGCCAGTTAATCACCAGTTACCTGAACCAGTAGCGGGAGAACTGGTGCAGAGCGGTCTGGTCGGCCCTCGGGGTGCCATCACAGCTCCTCACCCTGGGAGCTCTGTGAGACAGGAAGGGGTGAGGAAAAAGAGTGAGGAAGGCAGTTAGAGAGGGAGAAAGCACGCAAACTCTCAATGGACATGTCATACATTCCAAACTCGAAAGAAAAAGAGAAAAACTCTCCATTTTTTGTGCGCTCGCATGTTTCCATATGACCTTTTATGGACACACGGCGTCCTAAACATTCATCCGGGGTCTCAGCTGCGTGTGCGTGTTTTGCATGCGTGTCGCGGTTCCCACAGCCAGCACGCAAGAGATCAACCTTCCTCTGACCCAAAGAGGCCTGCAGAGAGACAGACAGGGGAGAGACGGGGGGTTGAACTTGATGACAGTGAGCAGAGCAGCCATCGGGGGCAGGCGGGCAGGCTCGGAGACAGATGGAGTGACAGGCACGAGGAAAAACATAAGCAGACATGAGCTTTGATATGAGTGATTTCTAATTGTGGCTTACATATGTGGGAAAGTTCACAGACACACACACACAAGTGACCTTTGATGGCAGAGTATCTTAACTTTCTCAGCTTAACAGGGCTGAAATAAAGAAGACTTCATTGTCTGTTTATGTAATTAAGTTTTTTACCAAGAAAAACTACGTACACACTTAAATAAGGTTTAAATGCTGCTACATTACACAAAAACAATTCAACATACCTCGAGTTATAAAACGTTTGGTCAAATGGCCAAATGATGGTAGCTAGGTTAGCACGGTCAGACATTTCCCGCTCATTGGAAACTATATTATTAACTCTGAAAGAGACATATTTTAACACGTATGCACTTTTAAAGCAAAACAAAGTAATACCTACATTTACGACATTATTATTCAAGCATGCACAACTCCTTCACTTGTCCTTTTTCCATCATTTTGTCTATTTTTTTACGTTTGATTCAACATCTGGTCACAGGAGGTGGTACAACAGAAGACTATACACCTACTGTGATTTTGAAGAGGAGAGTTCCCAGAATTTGGCCTTATCCCCCCCCCTCTCTGGAGAAATACTCCCTCTTTTTCTCACACACAGAACCATTTGATGCACCCACAAACAAAACTTGGATCAGGGTTTATCCAAAAGGGATGTGAAGATCAGAATAATCAATAGTACTCATGCCAAGATTATAATATAATCTCCCCTGTGTCTTCTTTTTATTTCTTTGGTTCCTCTCAACCTCACCCTTTTCTTTCCCTCCACCCTTCGTCTTCTTTCTACTCCCTCTTCCCTTTTTCCATCTCTCTCTCATCTTCCTCCTCCTTTCGTCCTCTCCGGTCCAGCTGTTACAGGTTGCCTTGCAGAAAGCCCAGACCAGTGTGCCAGACTGGTTTTTACTACAGCCACCAGGTCTGCCAGTGCATCCCCAACTTCATGAGGCCTAAGTGGAATTAATCAATCACAGGCAGAGCGAAGAGACTGCGGATGCCGCCATTTATCGCCCTTCAACACAAGGCCAGAAATCTTTTGGCCTGAAAACAAAGGTGGGAGCAAGAGGGAGGAAGTGCCTCTTGCCAGGAGGGCAGGAAGGCGGAACTGCACATTTACATGTACTGGATTACAACAGACTACATGCAGCACTTGAGGAGTTTTATTAGTGCTGTCTGTGCTCTGACCACAAAAGAGGATGGGAGTGCTTCCCAGTCAAACACAAAGGGCCAAGTCAGCCACCCGTATGCAGCGAAACGAGCAAAAGTGGAGTAATCCCAGCCAAAGGGAGAAAGTGAGGAGAGGTATTTGACTCTGAGAGTGTCCATGTGTTGGCCTAATAACGCGATCCTGACTGGGAGCAACCAATCGCACCTGGAGGGCGCCAAAACAGCCAAGGGGCGGGATGGACCAATGAGACTCATTCCTGCTGCAACGTGTTTAAGCACGACCTGCAGAGACACGGCTTGTGACTGTGTGAAATGGAAAGTGGAATGAATAATAACAGACCCAACTCCATGCCTTTTTTATTAAAAGATTAAATAAGCTGTAGGCAACTTGAGTCATGAGATGCTTGAGGGCGAGAGGATTTATTCCATATAAATCATGTCATGTGATGTTGACGGGGCCCTCGCACACCCACTTTTAGTGGAGCTGGAAATGGTGACTGTGTTTATTGGTGGTCCACAGAGTTTAACAGATTGCGTCTATACTAAGCTCATAGCTGGTTCGGCTCTTGAAGTCTAATGCCAGACCCCGTTCAATTAAACACTCCCAAACAGCTATTATATTCTCCCGTTCCTACTTGCCTCCACTGCAGTGCTGCTCTTTGAAGATTTCACTCATACGTGGCTGAATCCTATCACAGCCGACGGTACAACACTTGGGTACAGGTCTAGATCTTCTAGTAATTTAACTTCACACACTCTTAAGTAATATTATTTGTAAATATTTAAATCTTTTTTCATATTTAAAACTGGTATTTTGAAGATGGAATCGTGTTGTAAATTACTGTATTTAAGTCACAATCAGCCCTGAATGTATTGAACTGAGCTCTGGGGGTATTTTTAAATAATTAATTCAACTGTTCATTTATGTCTTCTGTATATTTCGTCACCCAGATCTGGTGGCAGGTATCTACATATTGATGGACAATACAGCTAGAAGAAAACATTACATGTAATGTAATATGTTATTGTTATTGTGGAATGTAACTCCATGTCTTTATTATCCCCCAAATTTCCAGAAAGATAAAAACATGTAATACAATAATGATAATACATTGAAATGGGTTTGAAATGTTGTCACTGCTCCTTTAAAAAAATAAAATAAAAACCCCACACAATTGCATGTTAACTCTCTGGCAACCGGAGGATGAGAAATGCACGTTACGTTGCTCGTGTTTCAAATGACAATCCAGTGAAAAGTACCTCCACCCCTCCGCACGCACAGACAGACCTGTGGGTGGGAACTTGACTCTTCCTGTGGTCTCCCGTTTCTTCTTCTCCCTCCTCTTCAGCAGTCTCTCCCTCCCTACCACAATAAACAATATTGACTCAGATGGAAAACAAAGAGATCGCCTTTCTGTCTGGCCCTTGTGACCGTCTGCCTGTCGAACTGCCTCAACACTTGTCTGTCTGATCTTTGTCTGGTCTGTCTGCATCATTAGCTGATTACAGTGCATTAATGGCTGAACAGTAATTACTGTCATCAGTTACAGAAGGCCTACCCTTAAACATTTGTCTATTTCTGTATATGAACATGAACTGAGCCAAATCAAGAACCTCTACTGCTCTACCGGCAATGATCAGAAGAAACGCTACATGCCATTCTCTAGAAATTGTGCTCATGTTGCCAGAAAATTACCCTGAAATGTCTGTGAAGGTTCAGGCAGCAAGAGTCTGAGCCCGAGGCTACAGTGGGTGGAAATCCAGGTCATCTGAGTGCAGCTCAGTGTGGGCTCTTCACCTTTTGAAATTCAGGGATAAATGGGAATTAGAATTCACATATTTCAATATGGTGAGAATAATAACTTGTACATTACTGTGTCTGTTAATGAAAGCTGTAAGGTGTGTGGTAGGTTTGGTGTACAGGTATGGTTCAGATTACCTTCTTCTGCAGCAACGGACAAACATCAAAGTGAGAAACACATTTTTTTCTCAGGGGCCGCCCTTCCTGTGCCTCTCTTCCAATCCAGATAATCAGGGAGATTTGCAACATATTCTGCCTCGCTGATTTTTCAAATGCTCAGAGCTGAAGTATTTAAAAAGGAAAGACTCTAAACTGCATCTTAAAAGACTGAAGATGGTGATGATCGTTTCATGCACACTTGGCAAATTGGATTCCCGATCCTTGGTTTTACCTTTTAAGTAGCTGAATTGCAAACTGTAATACTGGCAAGTTGACACAGACTGGAGTTGGCAGAGGTGAAGATTTATCTTGTGAGTTAGCAATCTATCTGGGACATAATTCAATATTTTCTCTTCCTTTGCAGTCCAACTCCACTGCGTCTCATCTGTTGCCAGTGCGGCGAAGCGTTTTATTTCCTACTTTTGGAATAAAAACTGCTCATTCTTGATGAAAGCATGCACTTTCTTTTGGTGTATTGGACGCCACTGGAAGGCCAAACAGAATTGATGCCATTTGAAATGATTTATTTATTTTTTCTCCAAGAACAAAATATAAACCCGGCTCAGACACCCATTTTTATATAATAAGCCACTGAAACTCTTCAAATATTTACAAAAGATAGAAAATAAAACATAAATAAATATAACCTGCTGCTGCTCGTGAGAGATCGGTGCGGCGTCCCCCCCACCCCCCAGTTACACTTTAAACTGCGGTTGTGAATGTGTAAGATTCAAAAGAGAAATCACAATGTCTCAGTAGGTCTTGGACAGTTCAGTGAAGATAAAATTGAAAAAAAAATCTACGTTTTAAGTGAGAAAATATAATATAAGCGAGAATGTCAGCTGCTCCACTGACAGCGAATAACAGAGAGAACATGATCGGTGACAGAATCCAGAGAAATATTAGTGGGATACTGGCACATTGTGTGTTTGTTATTGCTAAAGGAAATACAGCTTGATGGATTGGAAGTGAAGCCATTTTCTTGAGTCTGTACAGTGATAAATACAGTGGAGCAGCTGTGTCTGTAGAAATCCTTCTGTGGCAGAAAAAGAGCAAACGTGTTCACATAAAAACAAAAAGATTGGTGCACACTGACCCCTATTGGTTACTCGTGGTGAGGACAAGCACAGACCTAATCAACCCCGTAGGGAACTTTGTATTAGAAATACAATTAGTATGTTAAGAATTACACAAAAGATCCCAAAAGATTATACAGCATTCTTACAGCTTTTTAAAAGTTTAAACTCAATCTAAATTATATGCAACCTTAGGGTGTTAAAACAGCGTCAGATTCGTTGTACAATCCCATCACTTTTTGAGAGTTTAAGCAGAAAGAAAGTGAGAAATCTTATGAGAAGAGTGCAAAAAGCAAACAATGGCATTTTATGGCTTACTGATGTGAAAAATATGTATCCTAGTATGATAGCAGGAGCAGCCTTGTCATCTTGCGTCAGTATTTTTTTCACAGCTTTCTAGAGTTCAGTCTTTAAGCCATGGTGCTTAATCTCCATACCAGGTGAAGCAGCTGGAAACAGCACGGCGGTTCCAGAGCAGGCACTTCAGTACTCGCTGTCCTCCACACAGTCCGACTGGGGATCCAGTTCAGTTTTATTGATCGGGTTGTTCATGTGTCCTGGACACCCCCGGGGGGCCTGGCGTTACAGGCACATGCTGCAGCAAAAGTCAGGTAACCCTTTATAGTCTCCAGGTCGGTGAGTCATCGCCCCCCGCAGCCACGAACAAGTCCTCAAAGACAGCACTGATCGGTGGAGGTAGGCTCCATCCAGGGGCTCCATGCAGGTCAGTCTGTTATACATCCCAAATGTCAATTCACTTAGACTTCATTAGACACGTTCAACTGTTGCCTGAAACAGATTTAAAAAAAAAAAAAAAAAAAACACACAAATGAGAAGAATGACAACTACTGAACACAGTTTAACAGATTCAAGCTTGAATTAAGTGAATTATTGTAACCTTATTGGACCAAATACAGGACAATAACTATAAAAAAGGAGGTTGGATTATGTAGCCTTCATGTTGCTCAGAGTAGCACCTTTCTCCAACTCTAATCAGAGTGTCTTCTAGACATACGCTGCCACTACACTACCAGTACGGTCTGAACTAAAAAGCCAATAACACTAATTCATCAAAGCGCCGGTTCAATGCCCTGATCTCCACTACTGCTGAGTTTCCACTGCATTGTAAGGCTCAGCTCGACTACAATCCTGTTTTTGGTCAGTTTTCTACTGTCAAAAGTTGTGAATGGTACTTTTTGGTACTTGACACATTTTTCACTGCACTCCTACAGAAAAAATTAAAACAGTCAGACAAAATCATACCGATTGCTTCACAGGCCTGTAAAGTGAAAAACTCCCACACGTCCCAATAATAAGGGTTGTCTCATATTCTCAGAGCATGACGCACTGATCCTTAAATTTGCTTTAGATTTCAATAAAGTCTGCAGACTCACCCTCGTCGTCAGAGTCGAATCCAAAGAGGCTTGAGCACTTCTGCACTTGGAGATGACTCTGCAGGTCTTCGGCGCTGTTGAAAGTAGCGAAACAGTTGGCACATCGCTGTCTCGGCAGAGCTGCTGTAACCTTGGCCTGCGCAGGAGAAAAAGTTCTCTGAAACGAGTGAAAAAACGACACATCCTTTCTTCGTTTTGGCATGGTGGTGTACTTTTCATCCAGGTACGCCGTCGGCGGCGGACGCATGTATGGCCTCTTACTGTACTCTGCCAGAGTGTCCTTACAGACTGTAGATTTTACATCTTCAGTTGCTGCTTGTCCGTTCATCATCACAGAGTAACCGGTGCCGTTAACTGCAGATTGTTCCTCTGAGGGTTTTCCCTCCTCGCCTGCAGAGCTCGCCACTACCTCGGCTTGGACCTTACTTTTTGACTTTGCGGGCGTCTTGGACGCCGATGGAACACCCTGATCTTTGCATTTCTTCTTGACAGTCTTTGTGTCGCCTTCTTTATGAACAAGTTTGCGCTTCTTATTCGCTTTGTTGGGATCTGAGTTTTTCTTGACATGAGATTTGTTTGATTTTTCCTTCTGCGTGTTCTCTTCGTTGGCAGTGGATGGAGATTCATTTAAGACGCCAGTTGTAGCAGCAGGAACGGAGGAACTGGAGCAGTCAAGTGTTGCATGTAAGGTTTCTTCTTTTGCTTTTCCTTCCACATCAGGTGAGCTCTCTGCCGCTGCCGCTCTCGCTTCAACCTGTTGGTCTACAGATTTTGACTTGGCAGACTTTTTTAAAGAAGGCCGCCTTTTTTTGTCCCCTTTACTGTTAGTATCTTTGTGCTTGTTTGTCTTTCCAGAGTCTGAAGAAGCAGTATGACTATCCTTTTCTTTCTTTCCTTCTTTTGTAATGTGTGATTTCTTTGACTTTTCCTCTGTTGTTACTTGCAGTCTTTCCTTGACTTTTTTATTAGCATCTTTGTGCTTCTTATTTGTCTTGCCTGAGTCTGAAGAAGCAGTAGATGTATTATTCTCTTTCTTTCCCTCTTTCGTTGTAATGTGTGATTTCTTTGACTTTTCTTCTGTTGTTACCATCTGTGTTTTGTCTCCTGAGGTGGTGGGTGGTGCAATTATCTCATTTAAAGTGTTGGCTGGGACAGCAGGCACAGCGTTACCAGAGCAGTTTTGTGTGGAGTCTTTGTTTTCTGCCTTCGCTTTTCCCTCCTCATCAGCAGAATTTTCTACAGTTGCAGCTTTGGGCTCAACCTGGGGGACAACAGAATTTGACTTACTAGGCTTTTTTGAGGCAGACTCTGGTTCTTTGACAGGACATTTTTTCTTAATCTCTGTGTTGGCTTTGCCATTTGTAACCTTGTGTTTCTTTGACTTGCTGGAGTCTGAAGAAGCAGCCCGACTCCCATTTTCTTTCGGAGCGGGGCGTTTTTTCGCTTTTTGCAGTTTCTTGTGCGTTTTGTCTGCCGAGGTGGTGGTGATTGACTGATTTACGCTGTTAGACGTCACAATAGGTGTAGAGGTATTATGCAAGACCCCCTTTTGTTTAACATGATTCTTCTTAATCTGCTTGTTAACTGATTTTTTAGACTTTGATTCATCAATTGATGTTTCAGTAGTTTTGACGACATCTTGGACCTGCTGACTCTTTTGTTCTTCATTTAATGCCTTGCTCACATTTGACGTCTCTGCTGCTTTAGAGGGGCTCGTGAGCTGAGTGGGGCTCCTCTGATCAGTTTTCTCTTTGACAGTTTCATTGTTTTGACCAGTAGTAGTGTTTTCATCATGCACAGCTTTGTTTGACTTAGGAGGACGCCCTCTTCTTTTGGGACCTTTAGTGTTTACTTTGACCTGCTTTTTCTTGAACTTATGTCTCACTCTGATATTGTGTCTGAACAACGATGAGATGACTTTGTGACTTTTATGCGGTGCCAGGGATATATTTGTTCCTTTAACTTTCCTTAATGTTTGCCTCAATCTCAGATTAGGGCCGGCAGGCTGTGTGGAGGTGTCCTTGTTAGAAAGATTCTTCAAAACATGTGAATCCTTGGTCTCACTGGCCTGTTTCAGCCCTTGTTTTGATAGAGATGCTCTGATGGTGGTGGGAGGAGGAGCCTTATGTTTTCCTGTTGATGAGTTGTGTATAACTTGTCCTCTTGACTTACGAGTAGCCTTTACGCTCACAGTCTTAGTTACAGTATTGGAAGCAGTTTCATCTTTGGGCTTATGATCTGGTTTCTTCCCAGCCGGTGAGTTATTATGTTTGTCACCCGTTTGTTCATTTGTATTCTTGTCTGGTTTAGTAGGTTTGGAAGCGTAATGCTCTCTTTCGTGAAGGTTCAGTGCCCAGAGACAGATAAATAGCTGTGAACAACCAGGGAGGCAGCACACTGCCTGCAGCGGACTGTGCCTCCTGGCGTGGCGTCTCATTTCCATTCCGCTTTTAAACCTGGCAGTACAACCCTGATGGAGGCAGGGATGCCGAGGACTGAGTCTGTGTCTTTCAACGTGGTGCTGAAAATGTTCGAAACTCCACATAACCCTCATGCAAATACTACATCTGCTGTTTCCGACACGGAAGGCCAGTTCCAAAGGTTTGACCTCACCATAGTGATCTTCGAGAGCGTGGTAAAGCAGCGCAACGCGGTTTTTTGAAAGGTCTGTAAACCAAGCGCAACCATCCACAGGACAGCAAACTTTCTCTTGTGACTCAGCATACTTCTCTTCAACAACTTTCCCATCTGGTTGTGTGGTCGTTTTTAGGACCTGCAGAGATTCTGTCTCCTTCATTTTATCGCCAGTGGAACAGCTGAACTCTTTGTTTACAGGAACTGATGTTGCACAATCCATTTCTAGATCTTTGTTTTCTTGCAACCTGGGATTTTCGTCCCCATCACTCGCTCTTCCTTCAGAGATCTGCTGCTGCGTGCGTGGCTGCTTAGCTTCGGAGCTTTTCGGTCCGTCAAGCTCCGTTTTTTTGACAATGTGCCCGTTTACCTTGTTAACAGGAGATTTACTATTAAGGTGCTTTGATGAGTTTTGTTTCTTTTCTTGTAAAGATGAACCATCCACTGATTTGTCATTGGATCTTAACTTTCTGGATCCAGATGGGGTTGAATCTGGAAGGCTTATTGATTTAGGACAGGCGCCAGATTTCCTAGGTCTCCCACGACTACGGCGCCCAGAAGACATGTCTGTGATCTTAGCTTTGGCAGAGGTTTTAGGTGTGGTGATATCTTTGGTCTCAGAGTCCCAGTCTTCTTGGGCGTTGATACCAGCTGACTCTTTGCTTTTCTTCAGCTTCTCAATATGATTAGAGAGGTGCATCATGGCCAGGAGGTCATCTTTAAACATCGTCCCACAGAACATGCACTCGTCTTTGCGGTAATGGAACATAGCATGTGCTACGACGCGACTTCCCTTAAAGACCTTGTTACAGAAGGTACAGCAGTACTCCAACTTGGATTCCTCCGATTCCACAGGTTCACCGTTCTCAGGTGTTTCTGAAAAAGTATCCTGAGTTTCCTCATTCATCCCTTGCACATCATCAACTGCGGAGGCCCCCAGTTCTGGTACAGAGCAGCTGGAGGTAGCATATAAGTTGTGAGGAACTTGAGGTTTACTCCCAGTTCTTGACTCCCTGGAAGCACTGTCCTCAGCAGCCTGCTGTTTGTGAGCAAGTGTCTCAGGTGCAAGCTCAGTAACCATTTCCGTTACTAATGTCAGAGCAGATATGTCATTTATACTGTCCTGATCTGTAGGTGTGTAAGTGGTGACCCTTGTTCCTCCGGGGCCTGTGTCTTTGTCACAAGGCACGTGTCCTTTTGAGACCTCTGGAGCACCAGTTTCAGCCCGAGAGGACTTCAGTTCAAGTCGTTTCCCATCTCTCAGAACAATATCTTGAGAGTTTGAGGCCAAGGGATCAGCAGCTCCAGTGTTGGCTTTATTTGAGACTGGACGGACTTCCTCAGTAACTATCATCTGATTGTTGTCTCCAGTTGAAGTCTGCAAAACCTCAGCTGAAGTTGTGGTTTTTGACAGGTCTTTTACAGATTGAGCTTTAGAAACCTTATCTAAACCTGGGGATTGAGACACTTTACCTGCTGTTGGGGTTTGTGAGGCTATAGTGACTTTCATCTCCACAGCAGACTCTTCACAGAGCTCCCTTGTTTGAGCTCTCAGGGCCTTATCAAACATTGGGGCTTCTGTCACTTCAGTTTCTGCCGATGCCTGTGACTTTTCAGGGCGCTCTCTTGTTGATGTGAGGGTTTGTAAGACTTTTCCTGCGCTCTGAGCTTGAGGGACCTTATGTAAAACTGGAGATTCTGTCGCTTTTGTTGGTGTCTGTGAAGCAACAGTGACTCTCATCTCAACAGCAGACTTTTCAGAGAGCTCTCTGGCTGAAGACGTCTTACGTGAGACAGCTTTTGTAGTTTGAGCTTGAAAGACTTTTTCTAAAACCGGGGATTCTGTAACTTCAGCTGCTGCTTGTGTCTGAGAGACACTTCCACCTTTCATCTCAGTGGCAGGCTTTTCACAGAACTCTCTCTCTGGATCTTTTGGAGGACTTCCTTGCACAGAGGACCGTGTGATTGTTGACACAGAGCCTTGAATATTGGACCCGGTACCTTTTCCTTTCTGGCGCCGAGCATAACAGTGCAACTGTTGTACAAACATAGTTGCATCCCGCGCTCTAAGAATCACCTCTTTGCGGTGTACAGTCTTCATGGGTTGTGGTGTTGCAGGAACCTTCACTGTAGGTTTGTAAAGAAGCACCTGAGGGAACCCTCTTGGCCTGCTGCAAGTGTCCTCAATAAACGTACCCATCAGTTCGTTGTCTGGCAGGGAGAGCTCAAGAATGACTTGTGGAGGGGCGGCTGGATTAAAACAGTCCATGGAAAATCCTTTCTGGTGTTTGCTGTTGTTTTCCCTTGCCATTAAATGAGAGTTAAGTGAAGGTTTGTGTTTTGCATTGTTCTTGATCTGACCAGTTTCTGACCTTTCCACAGAAGATCGATGGTGCTTTTGATGTCTCAACCCATGCTTTTTGATCTTCGGCGGAAAGTCATTCTCTCCAAGAGTTCCTGAGTCCTCCAGAAGCCACTTGGGTTTTCTAATCCTCCGTTTTGGTGGGTTCTTCTCTGAGAGTCGTGTAGTGCGTCGATGTTCTCCATTGTCCTGTAGTCGGTCGAGTTGCCAAAATGAACGCCTCAAAGGCTCAGATGATGTGTCCTTCAAAGGCCGTGATCCATGGTTGCCTTTCCTCTTTACAGTGTGGTCAACATTAAGCCGTGTTTTACCTGGGCCCACCTTTAATCTTTTGGATGCAGTGTCACTATCCTCTTTATGATTACGCTTCTTAGCTGCTGCATGAAGCGCCCCTTTACTTCCTTTCTGACATCCTGATGTGCTCGATCGGAGAGCAGGTTCTTTGGTGCAATAGTTAAGGATCCATTTGTCCTCCATGATTTCCTCGAGGGCAGCACTGACCACCTTCTCACTCATCAGCTTCAAACAGTTGGTCCGCAAAGCAATGAGGTTCCAAAACTCTGGGTCAAAATACAAGTCCTTCTTTAAGACCTGAGGAGAGATAGAAAAGAAAATGTTTTGGTACTACAATATGGAAAATGCTAAGCAACAGTGTAATTTACCAACTTCTGTACTGCCCATGTGTAACTGAGAATCTAAACTTTGCCTTTTCTTTGTCATTATTTGTTAAAAAAGGTGCTCTACCTGTAGGGTTTCAAAGCGAACTTGATTTCTGATGGGGCTGTACTCCACGTGGTACTCCTGATCAGGATGCATGTAAAGCAGGTACACCATCTTGTAGGCCTCAACAGTGCGTTCCAGGAAGAAGACGAGAAGAGCACATGCTCGGCAAACCTCCAGGTCATTGGGCACCAGGCCGGCAATGGTTTTGTAGATTAGAGACTTGGTGATGACATCACAGGGAAGGCAAGACTTCAGGGCATTAGCACAAAGCTCCACGCAGAACTGGATACCGTCTTCACCCAGCTAGTGAGACACAAACAGACTTGTATTCAATACACAAATACATAAATTCTCTCACCTTAAATCTACTGAAATTAAAAAATATATAATCTTATGAAAATACACTGTGGTTTAAATTTCTCTCTCACTTCTTGCAGTATGGCTCTGATGAATGGGAAGATTGAGTTGACACTAGTGGCAGACAGCATCAGCTGATGACTCTCCTCAAGTAGAGCCTGCTTGGATGTTTTCAACCGACTATGAAGTTTACTCCACACGAAGACAAGATCACTGCAAAGAAAAATTTTACTTAATGCTTCCATAATGGGAAGTAAATAAATATGCATCCTGGTTATAAACAGACTGCTCATGACATTAGAATAACAGTTTTCTTACCACAAATAGGACATGTCTCCCCTGTGGAGCTGCTGGGAGAGGAAGGCTCTGCTGAGGGCTAGTAGCACCTCATCCTTTTCCTCACACTCCAAACTACAGATGATGTGAACTGCATCTTTACCATTAAAGCCAGCCACCTGAGAAACAGGACAGTGAAAGGATTAGTTTTGCCTGAAAGATTGTCATACATAAAATTCTGGCATAGTTGTGTGGCAGCCAGGCAACAGCAGCAGGTACAACAAACTGAAGTGAAAACTCTCACCATTTAACAGACCTGCTAGTATTTAAAATACAGTACACCCACCTCTTTGTGTAGACTGTCATGCTGTGAAGTTTTGAAAAGCCACGTGAGGTAGACCTGGAGGAAGAACAAGTGTTGTCCTGCTGTGGGATGCCAAGCACAACACTTAGCCAGGGCCATAGCCTCACTGACCCGCTCACAGGATAAGAGGTAGCGCACCCGAAGCTCAAAGAACACCGGCGGCTCAGAGCTGACACACCCATCCACTGAAAAACAGTCGAGTGAGAAGACACACAGATACGTTTTTAGTTTACTTTGATCAGTTTATGTGTGGGAGATTAGCAGGAATCACACGGAACAACCACTGAAAACAATTTCTGAGCAGTGGTATTCAAATACACTGGACTACAACAATTTATAGTGCACTTTGGAGGAGAAGCAATCCAATTCAGCTACATATTGGAGTCAGATTTTTTGGTTTATCCTTCAGCACGGAACAAATCTAAACACATCTGAACACTGACTTCTCAATAATATTTACTGTACAGTCAACATCAAATAGAGCGATGTAAAATAAAAAACAACACACCGAACAGTGGCTAACAGACTGCCAGCACTGGCTCGCATTTCTTTTCAGGGAAAGTCTGAGATAAACAGATTCAGATGAGCTATCAATGTACACAACGAGAGGAAACAACTACTTTAGGGGAGTCATTAGCTAGAGGTTTAAAGACATCAGCGTCGGGCGGGCTACAAATATAAACCATGTTGCCTACCTTCACTCTGAGGTAAACTGGAGTCACTGAGGATTGCCTGTAAGGCTGGGCAGGCCCACGGTCCGCCTCCCCGAACCAAGCGCTCAACCTGAAGTAAATGAACATTCTGATGCCTCGCGAGGGCCAAATGACATTCCTGAAACAGCATGGGGACAAAAAAGGTTTCTTTAAGTGCACATCAATGAATATATAAAAGGGCACCACCAACCTGTATGCACAGTTTTAAATAATCAACTGAATGAATCATTTTACCAACATCTATACATCCAGCACTTCATTCTCACCTGGAATGTAACAGTGAATTGTTTCAGTGGCTCCTGGTCTAAGTCCTTCTGGTCAAAGAACAGCAGCAACTCAAAAATACTCCTGTGAATAGATAAAAACTGGTTGGCTTCTCTCCACACATGCACATTTTTAAAAACTGTTTAAACCTACTTTCTGAGTATTCACACAAATCCATTTCTGTGTGGATGTGCAGATAGTGACTGCGATAAAGAGGCAAAAGAATGCACTTAAGGAAGCTGAGGGGAAACCCCGGGGGAGACAGGATGGAGTAGGGTCAACAGCTGGCAGCAAGCCAGGGTTTTTCCTGGCTCACAAATTGAGTCGCATGAGCCAACGAACACAATCAACTTTCAATCCCACAAACACTGCCACCAACTGTCCCCAAATATACAGGACTACTTCAGAGGTGGGTGACAAATATAAGCTTGCATGACATAGTAAAAAAAACTAATAGCACAATTATTTTGAGGGATACTGCAACTGTGATGATTCACGATTAGTGAGAGTGATCGTTTTTTCCATTCACATGTTTCACTGAAAAAAACTATTAAAATCACAATTATGTGACATTTGTTTGGGTCTGTATCAAACGAACATGTTTTCTTAGAACTGGAGAGCAAGATTTGTAGGCCAGGACATCTCTGCAGCACTGCAGTACTTCAATATAAAGCTGTTTTGTAACACATTTACAAGCTTCTGCAAATGCATATTGCACATGGCCATATTGTAATTTATGTAATATTTCGATTAATTGTGCAGCCCTGTCCTGTACGCAATTGATTTGCAAGCTTTTTTCTTGACTGTGGCAAGTACACTGTGAATTATTTAAAGTTATTTTCCCCTGATTACTTTATAACACGCTCTGTCTTATCAAAGTCTAGTGTGTTCTTCCTTGGGGTTGTGGGATGTCTTGTTTTATATGTGCTTATTCAAGGGCACATTGTGCAATGCCAGTTCTCTGAGAGGCAATAAAGGGTTTCATTCATTCATTCACAATTGAACCAATGTGAAATTTGGACAGTGAAGCAAGAGCAGGAACCAAAACACACAAAGAGTAAAAGATACATCCAGTCTACTTTCTTCTGGAAGAAAATCTAAAAGTGAGATGCTTTAGCATAAATTTAAGCATGAAAATAATATCCCTGTTTATACTACAATATAGTTATAACAACATAGTTATAACCAATGTAGTGGTTAACTTACATAAAAATAAACAGGTGTCTATCACATTTATGGACAACACATTGTATGTGTTACCTAACCTCTCTCAGACGTCACTAGACTGGCGTGAAGATGAACCAAGGGCTAGTGAGAGCTGTATGTGACCTCTGCCAGTTACAGTTGCATTAATACTCTGCTCCTGCCACTAGCTTGGCTCTGGACATTAAAGGTGAATAGATTCAGAGATGGTAGCGAGTCGCCTGTATTCTCACCACGAGCTACGTGATCATGTCTGGTGCTGCAAGTTCATGTGACAATTTATGTCACTGATAACCACATGTTGCTTTCACCCTACCTGACCTGAGTGGGAGTGACTACAAAGCATTTCCATATGGTGCTGCATTACTTAGATAGCATTTAGCAAACACAAGCGGAGATGATTTCTTTTGGTAACAGTTGAAACTACAGCACTTCATTAGATTTAGGAAGGTCTGTGTACTTACAAGGCCAGACTACTGAGTGTGTGGAGCACGTGATCGCAGTTCGACGCGAAGAAGGTGGAGGCTTGAGCGAAGAAGCAGAGCGATATCTCAAGGATCCTGAGCTGTGGCAGTGGCACCTGCCAGCGAGAGGCATACTCTTCCACCAGCTGCACGGGGAAAGGGCAAAACAAAATATGTCGCAAGGCAGTTAAATCGTGATACAATTAAGTGAAGATTTAAATCTGTGGGATTAAAGATTCTGATATCAAACGTTATCGTATCAAGGCAGAAAGACATCAGTTTCACCTCACAAAAGGAAATATGCATTGTTTTTGTATAGTTTATACCTCAGAAATAAAAAGTCATTATATAATCTGTCTTTAATTTCTCAGAGTAAATCGTACTGTAAGCCCAGTGCCGTGAATTGTATTGAAATGTGAGTTGAGTGTATGGTTGCGTCCCTAATCGGCATCTATTTTGATAACTGTGTCTTACTTTCTGTTTCGTAATATGGTGAACATTTAAATATCCTGCACTGTAAGAAACTGGGAGGGACTTTTTTTTCCACAAATTTTCCATCTTTATATAGACTAAACGATAAACAGAGAAAGTATTTGCAGCCCTACAACCAATACGGTCATTTTCTTGTACATGATGTTAAAAACTGAGAACTCACTGACGTACAACTACAGTAAACAGAACATGGGAATAATCATTTATTTATTTATTATATTGCTCAAATCAAAATACTCATTAAACAGTAAAAGAAGACCTGGCACAGGTTGGCTGGAACAGTTATGCCAGCAGCTTTCTGCAGTCGGCTGTGATGAACTATGCAACTAGATGCAAATCTAACATTTAGTACTGCTTCACATTTAACAAGTTGTCAAATCCCTAAAATACCATGTGCTTTTATTGCCCTCTAATGGTGGAGATCCACCTCTTGTGCGCCACTGGAATCCTGTGAATGTCCACTGTCAACAATGATCTTCTCATGCTCTTTGTCCAATCAATCAGTGCAGCTGGCTAGAAAGCTGAAACTGGAACAACTTCTGAAGCATTGCAACTTCAGTTTGGTAGTTTATGTGATTCAAATCGCTAATATAAATCTACCTTAATGCCTGGCGTGCCAAAACTGTGTTTTCATGTTGAGCTAATGCTCGACTTTAAGCTTTGAATAGCATGCCAATATCCCAGTAGCAGAATAAACACGAGTAAAGTTAATGTATTCATCATTATACACTATAACACAAGGTTGCACAACATAATGAAGGTTTGCAGCCCCACACAGAGACAAAGATAATATATATATTAATATTTAGATGTTGGATTTGTCAACAGGAAACAGTATACCAGACTATTCTCGACTATAGGCCATACGCTTTATGACTCTATTCTGTTACCGTAGAGGATTTACCAGCAGCCCTCGACCACTGACATTTAAATGCACTTTCCCCAGAGGTGCAGAGGTTAGCTTTGTTCCTCTAACGTTATGGCATTATGAGGTATTCAGGGTAGGAGGACATCTTGTGACACCAGAAATGATGTTATCTCCCACTGCAATGGTCCTGTTGCCACTGGGAGCTCATTAAGCTCCACATAAAGTTACACTTTATGGCAAATACCTGATAATGCAGATCACCAACCGCATGGCAACCTTGCATTTAGAGAGTAACGAACACCAGCTAAGTGCCCCACTAGGTAAAATGATTTACAAACGTGTTGGAAACGGGCAAAAAAAAAAGTTGTCCAGTCGGTTTGATAAACAACCAGCGGAACAACTCGGCTGTGCTAGCGATTAGCCGAGTTAGCTTGCTCCCAGCACAGCGAGCAACCATTGTCAAAACACGACCGAGCTCCAGCCTCGGACTCCTCGACAACGCCACTTGAACACAAGCACCAGGTGTCAGACAGGACACACAACACGTCTCACGGCAGTGTCTCTTCGTTTATTTAAAAGCGACTACGACTCGTTAGCTGGATGCTAACGAGCCCAACCGCTAACGGTAGCCGTGTAACGGCCAGTTCTGGGGGAGGGGAGTCGGCTCCCCATCGGCGCTCCGATCCTCGACAACAACGCCTGTCACCACCTTCAGCCGCGGCTCCTTACCTTGCGGAAGTCCGAGCAGAACGGTTTGCCGTCGGTCCGCAGTTCGTCGCTCGTGTAGCGGCGCAACAAACTCTGTAATTGTTTTTTAAGCCCCTCTAACTCGTACACACTGCCCTCCTCCGCCATACTGGCTGTCGAGCCTTCCGCGTAGCATCTAACCACACAGCGCATACATCGCCACGGTCAACGGCTCGCACTGACGGCGCTGATTGGTCGCTGCCAACGTAAAGGCGGTCGCTCCTTTACTAGCACGGCGCGCACCGGAGACGAGCTGGTCAGGGCGGAGTCTGAGGTCCGCAATTAAAGCAGATTGTGTCTAAATGAAGCCCCGCCGACACGGTGTTAGGAGTGGATCATTACGTGCGTCACAAACCACATGGCAGACACAAACATAGCGCTTTAATGACTGTTAATATTTGCGTTCACGTCCCGCGGTATAAAATTGGAAAAATGATTAATTGAGCTACTGGAGAGTTTCTCTGTTGTTAATTAAAACCGCGTGATACATAAATGTTAATGAACCAACACGACTATCATTACTGTTTTACGCAAATTTTAATCATACTTATAAAATGACACAATTAAAATGTATATATAATTGTCAGGTTGTGTTTAGGTACACTATGTAAATGTAAAGATTTATCTGAAATTATACACCCTGGTTCACCTTAGATGGATTAGGACAGGGGTTGTGGTGTTTTTAAATGCAATTAACATGAAACATGTCAATTTATATTTTTATACTTTTTAAATTTACAACACACTTTATTTAAAATAGTACTTAAATGTAACAGTTATATAAATAAAAGCATTCTAATGTTTTACTTCCTCACCCCTCAGTACTGAGGGTAAGATAAGAACTAGGCAAACAGTCAGACTTCATTTAAACTTTATTTAAATCATACACATTCATTAAGGAAAAATTATGCAATACAAAAAAGGTTCCTCTCTGACACAGCTAAGATTAAATAGTCCAAACAACTTTACAGATACATCACAGCTCACTGTGCTGAAAGGAGAGAGAAAGAACAGCTCACTACTTTTTTTTTCAAGAAATTTGATTACACACCATGTGTTTGTTTTTTGTGTACAAATACACAAATGAAAAAGCAGCATATAGTCAGCAGCACTGGGAAGAATAACATGCTTATATACAGCAACTTTCTATTTGTCTAATCTTGATAAATGAGATAAATACCATTTTTATTATTGTATGCCTTATTTCTGATGTTTGATTGATAAAAAAGGCACTGAAAAATAATCATGTACCTTTCAGACATTTAAAGTAGCAACATGGAGGCCTATATTTACGACTGTGATACAAAACAAAAAAGCTTTCTACAAGTTACAAACTGACACAAGATTTGGCTTCAGTAATACTCTAATAACTAGTGGCTTCAAATAATAAGTAACCCTCTCACAAGTTGACGTAGCACAACATACTTTGCTTATTATACCTTAAGACTCAAGTTCAAACAAAAAAAAGAATCAATATTTTTAAGTGAAAAAAAAAAAAGACCTAACCCAAATCAAAAACTTCATGAGATCATTATTTTGCCATTTTGCATCTACTACAGCTGTCCTTTGCATTTGTTGTGTTAGTGGAAAGAAATGTATAAAGCGTGTACTGCGTGTTTTAGTTGAGCTCGTCGGTGGACTCCGACATGGACCTCTCTCGCCTTTCTCGGACCGTGACGAAGTTGAGCAGGTCGACGGCCGTCACCACCCCGAACACCATCTGCTTCAGACTGGGAGTGCCGTCTGTCAAGTCTGGTGGAAGAAGAGAGCGATCGAGATGATGAAACGGATAAAAAGTGGTTGGTGTATGTAGGTAGTGCAGCTCTATGGGGCTTCAGCTACAGTTGGACTCAAAATGTACGTGAGTCTACAGCCTTTAGGCATCTTATGCAACTGGAAATTGTTTTTGACCACCGGGGGGCAGTGGAACAAGCTGTACACCCAACATTATTACATGGGCACCAGTTATTGACATGAGGACACCTCTCCAACAACAAACCTCGCAGATACAAGTCAGTAAAGGAAAGATCGGACATGTTAGGAGACATAAACATAAGAAAAACAGATTTCTGGAGGGGGTATCAAATCACATCAGTAACAAATACTTTAAACTACCCATATATGGAGGTAGTCTACTACTGCCAATGCCACATTGTGCCAGCTTCTGTCTGCTGGTTTACGGTTACGTAAAACTCTTTTTGTGCAGCATAGACAAAATCAAACTTGGCCAGTGGGTTCATAAAGTTGATTGCACAACACTTAAAAGGTCAGTCTGTGTCCAGCTTTGATCGGACACTCCTCCCATGTCACCTAACAAGGGTTATTGTAGTACACATGCTGAAAGGAAGAGGAAATGCTTATGAATTCTGCAGGTTGAGAATGGATTCAGTAAACTCTGTGTGATGAAGTCTGGGTGTACTTCATGTTCAGGTCCAGAGGATGTTTGCTCATTTCCTATTTAAAAACAACCACAACCACTGAAACACCCTATTATCAAAGTCGTCCTCATTTGGATGCTGTTTAAACTATGTATATCTTCATTATGTAACTATCTTGAAAGAGTTACTGCTTTGTAATTTCTCTACTTTTTCCCCACATAAAGATGACATTGGATGGTTAAATGAAACTAGATAAAAGTCACAAAATCAATGTGTGTGTGTTTTTTTGCCAAATTCTCCTCTCTTCCAGACTCCACCACAACAGGGCAACACTGTCCAGATCCAATTTCACTTTGGGGTGCTCGCTCTGCAGCTGGACTTTGACACTCATGTATCAGAGAGGAATGATCAGTGGCAACTTAACCCACTGAGCCAGACCAATGTCATCATAAAAATGTGGGCGTGACAGGTTCTCGGGTTCACATTTGTACTGCAGCAGTCAACAGTGTGTCCTTTAGAAAGGCACAAACCCTGCACGTGCAAACTGTTAGTCTAGGTTGGGATAAAGGCACCGACTGAACACAAACACGTGCCTTAAATAAAAGAAGTCAAATGCTATAAATGTGAGTATTTAAAGTGATTTTCACACACACTGAGTTTATCAGATTTAGGGGCTAAAGAAAGATGGACTGGGAGCAAAGGAGAGCATATTAATGAATGAAGAGTGTGTATATGAGTGTGACTGCATGAGAATGTTGTACTTACATTGGATCTGTTCATGTACCACCAGGGCAAAGTGGTCAGTCTCCAGAATACGAGATAACTTCCCCAAATTATCAGTCAGACGGATCTAAGGATCACAATAAGACAATAACTTGACATTAAATTGAAAGCACAAGTGGCATACGATGTATCGGATCTATGCAAAGATGCCATAAATTAAACTCTGGTCCATTTACTGACGGGGGAAGTGATTAAGTGAGACGTCTATTGACTCTGTGCATCTGGAGACCCGTAGATTAACTACAGTCCACACTACTCAAAAAAGGGAGGGAAAAAAAAGAAAATTGGATGCAAATACTTCTGGATCGTCCACAAAGTCATAAAACAGTTGGATGTTTTGATTTAAAGCTGCTTGGCTGAAGGAAATTATGGCCTTTGGTTTTACAATCAATCATTACAACATTACAACTGGACCTCGTCTTGGTGTCAAACCAATTAACAGCTTTTTTATCTGGAAATCCTCCCCTGAACTGGTTTGTCTCATTGGCTGCTACTTTCAGCCAATCCAAATTAAGGATTTAGTCTTGAAAATAATTTAACAAATTCAACCTAAAACCTACAATTTATTCAGGAAACCTTCCCTGAGGGCATCACTTTCACATTTTGTTGAGTACAAGAGCCACAAATAGAGAGGATTAAATTAGTGTCTGACCTGTTTGAACTGCTTGTAGAGCACTTTGCTGACCGGGTCTGACAGCTTGATCTTCCCTGCCAGAACAGAGGCCAACATGTTCCCTAAAGTCACCATGCCCAGGATTAACCTGTACACACACAGAGAGAGGTTGAAGTTAAATGTACAACAATAAAACACAACGGACCAAAAAAGGGATCCAGACATGCAGTATTTCAACATGAAAGTTAGCTACACTCACCCAGCCTCATCCACCACGGGCGCCTGGTCGAAGCCCTTCTCCTTGAGGATTTTGATGGTCTTCTGGCAAGTGACGGTGGGCAGGACGGTGAGGGGGGCTGACAGGTTCAAACCCTGCAGCCTCAGGTTCCACCACCTGAAGGACGAAGAGAAACGAGAGGGTCTTAACACAAATACACATCGGAGGAGGTTTGCACAAAGAGCAGAATTTACCCTTTGATTACACATACCATGGTTTTTTCACCATGAGGTCCTCCTCGCTCAGGAAGCCCTTCTGGACCATCCACTTGTCACTGAGGAACTTGGACCTTGAGGAAAAAAAAAAAAAAGATAAAAGAATAAAGATTTGTTGATCACATTACCTTAATTGACCACTTGGGGGCGCTAGATGTGAATAAAAAGGATAGGATAAGCTTTTTTCAGCTCAATGACTTTTCGAGCAATCAACACAACGTGTTGCACGCAATAATGGGAAAAAAATTTACAGTAAAGTGTTCTCTCTGAAGAAAGAAGCACCACTGGGATGCCCATTTTGCTCTCTTTCTCGTTTGTTTTGGTCTTTCTACCCCTAGTTGTCAAATAAACTCATTACTGCTGCTTTAACCCTCAGGGTTTGTATAAATGTCACTGAATATTCCAGTAAAATCTTCACAACTTCATTATTCAAAGATGTGTGACGGTACAGAAATAGACTGTCCGGTTATTGGACGTGTGTGGATTCTCACATGTAGTTGCGGATGGAGTCTGGCAGGATGACCACACAGCGCTGGCCCTCTTTTAGCTCTTTGGCGACATTTACCGCTGCTGCCATGGCCGTCCCAGAGCTGCCTCCTGTTACAGAAAGATGGATGGATAGATTTAACTCACACATTCAAAAGGTCTGACTTGACAACCTCACTCATACGTCTG